GGATAAAAAGTAGCCTATTTGTTATTCTGATGTATAAACTATATTATTGTAAAGTTTTATTAAAATCCAATCTGTAGTTCTTGTGTACTAAGCAGTATAAGTTATTATAGTTTTTTAACTATCCCACGGGAACTCTTTAATTTTCCGGGAATGAAAAGTAACTAAAATGTTGACTAGGGATAAAAGGTACCACCATGCAAAAATTCATTTAAATCGGTTCTTCAGTTTCGGAGATTAGCCCGTACAAACAGACAGAGAAACAAAAAATTCGAAAAAAAAACAGGATTTGTTCTATTTCTCTTCTTACATCCCCCTGACTCGGTTTTTAGCATTTTTTTTCTTTGTACAGACATTCGATCTCTACAGTTTTATTATATATATATATTATATAGATATTTTATTCGAGTTTATTCAAGAGAAGAGTTTTTTTATGAACGCAATCTGTGTAGTTATTCGCGAATATTTGACATCTCTTCTTCTTATAAATAAAATGAATGGCTAAATGGTTTTTATCAAGAGAAAAATTGATCATAAAATCATTTTTCCTACATTACTTTATAATTATAAACGCAATCCTAAAATTAATATAAACTGCTTAAAGGCATTTGTAGATTTGACATTTTCTCTTTCTATAGATATAGTATCTTTATTCAATTCAAGATATATATATATATATATATATATATATATATATATATGCTATCTATTACATACTCACCGTCAAAACGTACTTAGGGACATTTAGTTAGTTTTAAATAAAAAATATTTTTTTCGGATGTTTCGCTGTTTTGAATACTTTTTGGCTCTCCCTACAATTCAAATACTTAACATCGCTCTTTAATATGAACACTAACATAGGTACAGAATTTTTATATATCAAAGTAGAAATCAATAAAAACTTTGACGTCTTAAGTGCCTATATTGCCATTTATTGAATATTTAATATAGATCGTAAAAGCCATTAACGATTGTTGCAAGAATTGATTCGAAACAATAATATTGTTTAAACTGTTTCATTTCTAGTGGCTAATACGGCAGTAGATCTCCATGGGTTCGATTCCCGGGCTTAAAACTTTGAGATAATAATAAATTGGCGGTGCTACAAAGCTTCTAGGAAAGCACGTAGGGTTCTTTAGCCCTGCATCTCTCTGCTCAAAGCTCTTCCATCGGACTACAAAAGAGAGAGAGAGTGCTCCTGACAACTATGTTTGCGTATATTCTATAATATATGTACAACCGTACTCGAATATGTAAATATAGTTGGCGAATTCATTCTATCATTGATTTCGAGGCTCTGTCAGGAGATTAGAATGTTTATATTTTAAATAATACTAGGTAATATGCTAAAATAAAATTCAAAAATTAATTTTATATTATTAAATAAAACAGTTCAAAATATGATATGTAACCTATAATAAATAAAATCGAATTGTTTGTTCGTAACGTCATAAAAACAGTTTTTACTAAATGCATATGAAAGTATATACTTATAAGAAAAGTCAAATTTTAAATTTTTTGTCTGTTTGTTTCGGATAATCTCCGAAATGGCTGGACCGATTTTAATGGGACTTCTCTGGTAGATAGGTGATGTTATAAGGTGTAAATAAGGCTACTTAATTTTAGAAAAAGAATTAGGGTTCCGCACAAAAAAGACATGAATTTGTGCGAGGTTTAGTCGCTAGATATTTTACAAGATTCAGATGAACTGTTTCGTGCTACCGCAAATTAACAAGGCTGAACTAGTCTAATTAGATGTTAGCATGTCGTGGTTAAATCGGTTAAAGTAGTATTAAATTATGCAATGCAATTTTATGTGGTACGAATTAATTACAATCTAAGTTAAAATGAGGTTATGTTTGTGCTTGCGAACCAAAGTCCGACTGTGCGAGATGTTGCCATACTCTTACTTACTTTTTTATCTGTGTTGTTCTATTTTTTTACTCGGCCAGCGTATGTCCCGACTGTGTTAATGACCACGATTATTATACAGCGATTACGGTTCCTCTATAATGATAATTTTATATAAATGATTAATAATATCTAAAAAATTTGGATTAATATATTCATTTAAGTATATAAAAAGTTCATCGTATCTAATAACGTGTACTTGACCTGATAAACGTCCTGCTCCAAATTGAATTTTACCTATCTATGATTTTTGAAGTTATTCAAAATTTCCCAATTCCGTACCTGAAAAGGTAAAAAAATGAAACCTTATAAGATCACTTTCTTGTCCGTTTGTCTGTCCGTGTGTCACCATCGATTTTCTCAGGAATGAGTGGACCTAGCAAGTTGAAATTTATACCAGATACTGATAGAGTCCGACTCGCACTAGTCGCATTTTTTTTCCAAAAAAATTTGACTTCCATTGAAATATCTAGCTGTGACATACGAACCAATGAACAAAATAAAACGTATGTTTAATTACGTTTTAAAGTTGTGATAGAAAAGTATGTTATTAGTAAATTTTTGGTGTACTTATTAGAAGGGAAAGTAAAAGTGACCGTTATGATGCGACACAATTATTATTTAAGTAGCAATGAAAGTGAAAGTGACAGCTGGTAAATATTGGTGATTCTGTACTTTTCTTTGCATGCCTTAAGTAATAAACGATTGGGCTAAGGAATAATGTATGCAGTCTTCTGGAAAGAGGCCATTCAAGTATCATGTAAATACCAAAGGGCGTGTCTTTGTTTTCCATATTTTTGTTCGCACGATGGTCTGGGTGGTGATTACGTCAGCAATATTTATTCATTAAAAAAATTATTAGATTTTGTTTTTTTTTATGAAACAATGTTTTCAGATGAGAACACACATGGCAACCCCATTTGTCTATGCTGAAAAGTGAAAAGTATATTTATGGTTCCCCAAAATAATCAAGTCGTAAGTGTTTATGTAAGCACAGGAGCGGGGAGTAAGAGCATTGCTTATTTTTGCTCACAACGGGGAGGGAGAAGTTGTTAATTACAAAAGTTCTGCTTACGTAATACTTGAATTGCCCCAAATTAATTGAAAAATGAATAAAATAAACTTCAAAAAGATACCTACCATTCAATTTGGTTATATGTTTTTTCTGTACAGTTACATGATAGTGGCATGATGATGTTATGATTTTTATTATTGTTTGCTTTTATTTAACTTACAATGTTACTTGTTGGTATGTCTGTGTGGGCTAAATCTTGCAAGGCGAATTGGAACAACTTCCTCTTGTCCTACAGAGTTGATATTTTATAAAGACAATGATTTTTTTTTATTTCATTGGTTATAACTTTCAGGGTGGTTTCAACCCCTGAACGTATAATAATTGTGTTTGGAAAGCAATCCGCCGAAAAAGTAATTCAACGACTTCACTTACAGTTATAAAACCACAATGGTGTGGTTTTCGGTATAATTCCTAATAGTGAGAGAATGTACCGTATCGCATCAGTACATTCATTCAAAAGTTACGCCCTAAATACACAACTTACAAACATATAAGTTAGTTCTAATATTAGTGTAAATTGTTGGGACTCTTTGTGTCTTACTGTATTTTCAACCAACTGCAAAAAAGGAGGAAGTAGGAGGTTCTCAATTTGGCAGTATTTTTTTATGTTTGAATTTCAGAACTCTGTCATTTATTAACCGATTTGGATAATTTTTGTTGTGTTTGAATTTTGTATACTTCCAGTTTGGTCCTGTTTAAATTAAAAAAAAATTACAACCCGAATGGAAACATCAGCTAGTGAAAATTTAACCAACTTCAAATTGTTATATTGACTTGACACTTTGGTAGTGGTTCTATTTCCGTTGTTATCTAGTCCAGTGGTTCGGAATCGTTGACCTGACCTGAATGTGGATAGGTGGAACTCTTCAACGACTAATAGTAAAAACTTTATGTTTGGGCTTCTTTTTTCGCTAGTAATGTTTCATTTTAGCTTGGCATCAAACTAACTTAAACGGCTTAAGCGAATATTTTATATATAAAAATTGGCATCAAACCAACTTAAACTGCTTAAGCGAATGTTTTATTAAATACTTGTTACTCTGATACTACTATGTCTACACTAAAAATGGCAAAATATAATATAATAAAAACTTAAAAAAAAACAAAAATCGACTTCAAAAAAAAAACAACTAAAAAGTAAAAAATGACTGATTGATAGTTTTCATTTTACTATAGATACCTAATCAGATATTTGCGAATTCGGTGCCAGTGGATACAAATCAAAGCCGACTTTGAAAGTATCTGATTATGTATATAAAGTAAATAAAAACTACCAATCAATCATTTTTTACTTTTTAGTGTTTTCTTTAGAAGTAGGTTTTTTTAAGTTTTTTCCAACGATCTTATACAAAATGAAGAATTATTGCATATCCAAAGATAAAATAATTACGTTTTACGTATATTTTAAACTGAATTTAAGTTTTGTTTTGAAGCTGATATTATTTTACTTATTTTTAATTTTGTCATTACAACTTTATTATAACTAAGTCGTCATTATAGATGTTTGTTATTTTCTATCTGTACGTGCCTATTGTAGCAGTACGGCACTTGCGATAAAATTGTTATGACTTTTGATCCTTAGTATCTTGGCCTTCTTACGTTATTAATAATAGCTGTTTTATAGCCGTTTTCCGTTCTCAACTATTTATTATAAATTATTGAAATTCATCACACAACTAACTATTACAAATACGCAAGTGTGTATGTGTTTTTGTGTGTTCGTATTTTCCACCATGACCTGAAGTAAATCATAGGTTATATGTTAGGCATCCATAGACTCTTCAGCTTTTCAAGCAAAGCGAGATTAAATCGATTGACTGATGAGAGGCAGCATCTCTCAGTTCCGCAGAATTTTTATAGTAAAGAATTTTTAAACTAATTATACTTCTTCTTGTTTATTCTGGAGGGTGATTATAAATACAACATTTTATTATGTAGATAATCTAAGATGGCGTCATATAAGTTTGAAAAAAAAACCCCTTTAATATCCATAAAGCTATGTTATCATTGTCGACAGGATCGTACCAACCCAGCAATGAGTTGATGTTACGCTTCTACAGTTACTTCAAGCAAGCAACAGAGGGACCATGCAATAAAGACAAGCCTGGCTTCTGGGATGTGGTCAATAGGTAAAAGTTTTTTTTTACATACGTATATTATTATTTTAACACGCATTTATTAACTAATAACTAACAAAAGCAGTGGTAGCCCAGTGGTTATGCTTTTACTTGGAAAACCAGATGAAGCGGGTTCAAATACAGGTCTCGTACTCGTATATTTTCATATGCAAAATCATTTCCAACGTGATTACCACTTGTTTATGGTGAAAGAAAACCTCGTGGAGAAACCTGCATATCTGAGAGAACCTAGCAAGTTTTGGAAAAACTTTTGTAGTCCGCCAACCCGCACTTGGCCAGTGTGGTGGACTATGGTCTGTTCCCCCTTGTATTAAAGGGAGGCCCACCTCTAGCAATAAGACTTTAATAAGGGCTGCAAACATTAATTAACTACTCCTAAAGGCTTGGGTCAACATTTAAAATATCATAAGCTGCAGCGTCACCTGGAATTTGCAAGATATTCAACACTTTGCACCATGTTTAGGCTCATTGGAATAGCCTCAATGAACAGATTATCGTGATGGCGATTTTTTTTTAATTTTAATTTAAAAGTTATTTTTAATATTATATTATATGTTATTTGTGACTTACTCTCGCTTCGCTCGGGTGCGTCCCTAGTTACGTTTTATATAGATGTGAATAGTTATTGCGAGTGTACCTTAGAAGAAACACGTATGCTATTGCAAATTTTTCTGTAAGCCTTATTTATGGCCAACAATTTTCTAGTACATTGTTTTGATGTATCTCTGTAGATTTAGTCAGCGTTAACCATGTACATTTCTAAGGAAAACTCGATAAAACCAATTATTGTCTTTTCCCCGTGGAAATGAAAGATTTTCCTGTAGTAAAAAATATTCTAAATGTTGACCCGATTAATAAGCTATCACTACACAAAATTTAGTAAAAATCGATTCAGTACTTTTTGCGTGAAACGCGCCTATCTATTTCGCTAAGTTAGTGTTTTATTAAATGTATAGAAGGCAATATTCTTACTAAGTAAATTAATTACAGGGCAAAATGGGAAGCGTGGAACAAATTGGGCAATATGTCTGCCGACGAGGCGATGTTGGCGTATGTCAACGAACTGCACAAGGTAATACTTTTATACTGGACGGTGGAATAGCACAAAAGAGATTTTCGTAACAGAAAGGCTTAATAACTAAACTTGGCTCGACCCGGGACTCGAATCCAGTACCTCCTCCATACCAGTACATGCTCGCCGCTATTGTGCAATCGTAGGAATAATCATATCATGAACTCAATATGGGCTAGCAAATTAAAAATTCTTATGCTTGCTTTGAATAAGTAATATCAAATAAATGGTAAATTATGTTAATTGTAGAGGTTTTTTTTTAACAAAAGATATTAAAGTAACAACTCCACTTCTTTTTTATGATTAGTTTAGAATTATTTAATTACATTATTATCTTAATGACGTTCACGTATTGTTGTTATTTATTTATTTTAATATTATATCTTAAGTAGGTATGGATAATAAATGGCAGAAATAACAACAGTAACAATTTAACGGTTTCTTTAACACGCATCTATAATCTATTTACATAATATATAACGATGGTAATATGTGACTATCAGTTTTTTTTTACTTATTAGGTACTAGCAAGTCACCCTGGCTTCGCTCGGGTTCGTCCCTAGCTTGCTTGCCAATTTCTTTATTTAAAAAAAAAACATTTAAAAAAAAAGATGAGTGAAATCGGTAAAGCCGTTCTCAAGTAGTATAGTAGGAGAAATATGGGTTCATCATGGATATTCTTCTTCTTCTTCTTCCTGCCCATTTCCCAAATCACTTGGGGTCGGCGCAGTACATCAGTGTACTGCTGATAGGATTTGGCAAAAGTTTTACGACCGGCCGCCTGCCTGACGTCAACCCTCCTTGGGAAATGGATGGAAATATATATATATATATATATATATATATACATATGAAATCATGGATATATATATATATATACATACATATATTTATAACTAACGACTCACCCTCCCATCGTTCGGGTTCGTCCGTATGTGATTCTTTAAATTGACATAACTTTTTTATTTATGAAACGATTGAAATAAAAAAAAACTACATGTTAAGTGAGGCTTACCACAATGTTTTAGAGAAACCTGCACATGAATAGTTTAAGCCGTTTTTGAGATTAGCGCGCACAAACGCACAGGTGAATAGACAAACAGACAAAAATTCTAAAAATCATTGTTTTGGGTTTTTGGGTCTCTTTGTGTTAATAAAGACCAGCAATAATAGATTTTCTGAAATATATTCCATGTACAGACAGTGATCAGTTACACTTTTATTATATGTTTATAGATTTACATAATGTCGTAAACGGTGTGGATATTACTCAACGGTGTTGCTATTACGCTACGAGTGTGTGGCTTAAACAAATTTTGATATAGTTTGTTAACCCCAATAAAAAAAATATTAAAAAAAAACAATTTCTTAGAATTACGCGAATATTTGACTTTTTAAATATCCTTTATCGGATTTATTTAGATTTTTTTTTATTTAAAAGAAATTTCTATTTTCAATTAGTCATATCCGTTGAGGCGTAAGGAAAAAACCAACACTCTTATTCACTTATTAATATTCGTATTTAGAATATAATATTCTATAGTTAATATTATAAAGAGGCAGTTTTTTTGTTTCTTTGAATTCTCAGGAACTACTAATCCGATTTGAAAAACTTTTGCCTTAGATAGCCTGTTTGAAGATGGCTATAGGCTATAGGATATATCATCACGCTACTACCCAAGGGAGAGGGGCAATAAATATATATATATATATATATATATAGTCTATCTATCCATACTAACCGTTAAAATGTGTGTATATAGAAACAAATCCGAGCGAAGCAAGGGTGAGCCGCTAATAATATATTTAAACATATTGATAAGTATATATTGTGACAGCTTACATAACATTCACAATAGAAAAAGACATATATCCATACATCCAAAAAATAATTAAGCTTGAAACGTTATTAAAATTTCTAATACGCCATGTTTGTTTTTGAACGAAATCGAGTTTTTAAGAGAAGATGAATTTATGGACCGTCTGCATTGATTGATGATATTATATTTTTACTTTTTATTTTTATTTAATAGGTCATGAATTTGGCTGCGTATTGAAAGAAATGCCTCTCTTTCTATATCATTATCTATGTATACGTTACCGGTCAAACCCGATTTCAGGCCAAACTAGTTTGTCCTAGGCCAATCTGACTCATACTAAGTGTGTCAAGATATACTAGTTTAGCCCAAGACAATCTAGTTTGGCCTAAATACTTTAGACTTAAGTTACTAAGTATTTTGGCCTAGGCCGAACTGATTTCGAGGTGTTATTCGACTGTTGTTTAGTATATTGGCCGCGACCTCTGGAGGAGTGGATGGGTATCATTATCGATAATTTGTATCGATGACACTATTTTACATGGTTTTTGTCCTTGAAATGAAAAGTATTTTTTCTTAACAATTAAGGTGCACTGAGTTAAAAAAACAAATAAACAATCCAACACGTCAAATTTCCAAAATATTTATTTATTTTAATTTCCAAAAAAATACATACAAATGTATATAAAAAAAAGTAAAAATAAATTGCCTTAGGTTTTTTCTTGTATTTATTTGCATCTGTATTTCTTATAATAGACCAGCAATAGTAACTTAACATAGCCTGGTCCCAGTATCCTTGATAATTTTGCTCAAAAAAAATTAATGTCCTGGTGAAAACCCTCTCTCGCCATATTCGTCGCTGACGTGTCAAATACTTTCATAGAAGAAATCAACGTGCGAGTGAAGGAAGTGACACTTTCAGAGACATGTGGACACCCTTTTGTTGAATATTATTTAATAAATCGGCAATTAACTGTTGGTAATTTTCATAATTTTGTTGCCTTAGAACTCTTGTCATAAAAATTCGTAATGAATTCCAAGCGGAACTTTCAGTGGCTGAAAGGCTATTTTGGTTTTCTTATATAACCCCCCAGTATTTTTTTTGATTTCCGGTCCGTTAAAAACACCTTTTAATCTCGTCTCAGAAAGATTAGGTGTCATTAGAAATAGAAGATGGCCTCATATTAATTAAATTAAACAACATTTTGCAATGAATATAAAACCAACTTGTGGATAGCTAGAAAATAAAATGTGATGATATCTTTAGTTTTTGACGTGGATACAGTTAAAAATATTTATGTTCGCGAGTAGTTATTGTAAGTGAATATTCTTATATATAAAATTTCCATGTCACAATGTTTGTTACCGTACTCCTCCGAAACGGCTTTACCGATTTTTACCAAATTTTATATGCGTATTCAGTAGGTCTGAGAATCGGCTACTATATATTTTCCATATCCCTAAGTGATAAGGGTGGACCACCCTAGTATAATATAAAATTCACTTGAAGGACATAAGTTTTATTTTTATTTTGTAAACTAGTGTAATTTGTATCGATGCAAACGCCATTACTCAAGTTTGTTTTTGTTTTATCAAAGTAGAATAAGCACATCCGTTCGCGTTTATTCAACGTGTTGTGTATAGACCTTTTTGTTTATCAGCGCTGTGTATTTATTTATCACGTGTCGACGACACGCTTCGTTGTCACTCGTCGTCGTATGATAAGAGTTTCGTCGACACGTTATGTTCTATGGTGTGCATACCATAGGTATTATATTATAATTAACTGCCTCGGTGGTGTAGTGGCTAGCATGACGGCTGCATACCCGGAGGCCTTCGGTTCGAGTCCCGGGTCGGGCCAAGTTTAGTTATTGAGTCTTTCTGTATATTAAGCCTCAGTAATAGCCCAGAGTTGGGAAGTTGGCGGTGTATCACCCCCGTGCCTCGGAGAGCACGTAAAGCCGTCGGTCCTGCGCCTTAACTCTCACTGGTCGTGTCGAGTGGTCGTCCCACCAGACTATGAGAGCGACAGGAATAGAGAGTGCACGTTGTGTCTACGCGTACACTTGTGCACTATAATATCTCCTGCACAGATGGCTGGTCTCAATGAGATTAGCCACCGTGGCCGGAATCGATCAGGAGAACATCATCATCATCATCATAATATAATTCAATTCTCTTCTTAATAACTTCAAGGCGGGCCAGTTGAGTACAGATTAATTCGCCAATGTCATGTAGAATGGAGAATACTATTATATAATTTTTTTCCACACCCACAGATAGTGGAAACGATGGCATTTAATTCGGACGTGGCTTCGTTCCTGTCAGTTAGCGACGATGAACAGGGCTTCCCTAGTGCCGACTTAGAACTGGTGGCTGGCGACGTGTTGGCCAAATGTCGAGACTCACAAGGGAACTCGCCGAGTTGTAAGTTTATTTCTTTCTATCCGACTGTGCTCGTAGAAATGTGTTATGTGTTTGAGAGTTGTATAATATGAATAAGCTTCTTTTTCTTCATCTCGTATCGATTGCAAGTTTTAAAGTGAGTCAGTCCAAAGTTAAGCCACGATTATTGATTTATCAGTGGCGTCCAGAAACTCCTGTTAGGTAACAGGGCAAGCAGGGCATGCATTTACGTGCCTCATCGTTTGTAGAACAGTATATCTGCACTCCATATGAAAAAGCTAAAGATTGTTTAGTAAAACTCTTGGTTGCCTTTTTGACTGACAGGCAACATATATGTTTATATTTAATTTTAGATTTGAAATAAATATGAAAAATGTACATCGAATTCAAGATCAGTTAAAAGTAGTATATTTTGGGCTAAAATATGTTTTTTAATTTGTTTTATATATATATATATACATATATACATATATATATATATATATATATATATATATGTGTATATATATAACATAATAATACTGTCAGTGACAATGAAAGTTTAGAGAATTATAATTTCTGCGAATGTTAATATATGTAATAATAGGAAATACGCATGTTTTTATATTTTTTTTATACAATAGCTTACATCGTTATATAATTGACAAAAAAATGTCCAGCTCCTAAAAAGTAAAATTTAGTATAAAAATCGTGTGTGTGTAACTTACATATTATGTACGTAGGTTGGAAGTTATACTTCTTGGGCGTAACAGAACAAAAATAGCTAAACATTTCATCCCGTATGTCACAACTGTCTGTTTGTAAATGGAAGGATAAATTCATAAAATAATTAAATAAGGCATATTAGGCATATTACAATCATATATTTACAGAATACTAGGTACGTTTTAAATAGAAATAAATAGCTATTAGCCAGCATTAGCCATATAATTTTTTTTGTTAATAATATTGACACGATACTAACGTTACTGAATTTCAATTAGATACGTTTGATCTTATAAGTTATATAAGAATAAAAATTACTTATTATGGTAGGGGAGCCCACGAAGCTAAATGGGGATTTACTCGAGCGTCGTAGAGACCTATTGGGATGCAAAGCTTAGATGATAAGAAGAAAAAAATGTTATATGATATATACCTTTACATCGGTGGGGGAAGCGGCTATAGATTTTTAAATATGTAAAAAAAAACTGTTGCATAGACATCCTCGAGCGCGTCAGATATTGATAGCATCAATGCCCTACGTATTTTTAATAATGTACGTATGTTAATCTGATCGTTTGCATGATGCGGGTGGTTGTATTTAAGGGTTGAAAATGAAAAAAAAAAATTTAATCGAGCGCGTCAGATTTTCTAAGGGAGTGTTAAGTGCACCAAAAAAAAGCTCTCATTCACTAATCTGACGATTTCGATGGGACGCAAACTCGCGGCCATTTTCATAATGTGCAAAAAAAAATCGCCATTTTGAAATACTCAAGCGCGTCAGATTAAGATATATATGGTTCATCTTTATGTTCTAAACGTACTGTCTTATAATCTGACGATTATCTAGAGGGATTCGCCTGATCTGACAAAAAAAAATTAGAAAAACGGTTCACCTTAAAGGCCATACCTGCAACTTCCCGCTAATTCCATTCCTGGACGCTTAAAATTGTACTTATGACATTTTTGAGCTCAAAATATAATTTATGTGATATTTTGAGCTCGCTGAGTTCAAAGAAATAATATTTCTATGCATTTGAGCTCTCCCAGCTCAAAAGTCTGATAGAAGTTTCATAGAACACTATTTTTGGAATTTTCAAACCGCAATAACTTTTGAATAGATCAAGCAATTTTCAGACTTAGTGACAACATCATACACGGGGTAGTCACGGGGGTTCTACCGTAAATTTAATTGTTTTTTGTAAGGTACTTTCACCACAAAATACACATTTCAAATTAATGTCACTCATATTAAATATTTATAAACTTTAATTCACACAAATAATATTAAAATAGCAAAAAAAGCCAAAACGTTGGAAACACGTTGTAAACAGTATGCCACGAACGAGTCTTTATGATCAGTTGTGATAGCGTCATGGCGGCAGAAACCAGAGTGGGGACGGAGTGAGAGAGTAATAGATAGAGAAAGAGTGAGAGAGGAATAGAGACGCGGAGAAGGAAATGTAAGCATCACGCAGCTGCACGCATTTAACTTTATCGACGAATTTTTGTTATTTCGGCTTGCGGAAATCGTCAGATTATATATTTTTCATTATTCTTGCATTATTTCCTTCAAAATAAAAAAAAATTTAGCTACGCTCGAGAATGTCGAGATGACGTTTTTTTTTTACAACTTTGTTGCCCTCCCCTTTTTTTACGTCACTCTCAAATTGTCAGATTAGTGGAATATACACTTTTTAGGATGTAATTAACTCACCCTACCTTAATCTGACGCGCTCGAGAATTTCTGGTGGTCAATTTTTTTTTACTAATCTGATCCTGTATCCTTCACGGGCGGCCTTATATATGGGCCTCATGTTTTGTGGAGGTACTTAACCGGGTACAAGGTATCCCCTGTATATTAATCTGCCGCGCTCGAGAAACTACAGAAAATCCCCTCTTGGGCTCCCCTACTATTATAGTCGACAGAGATACAAGACGCGCACCCGTTCATTCATTATTTACGTAATGTAAATAATTTGTCATGTAATAGTGTCATTTGTCAAAATATAATGTGAAATATAACCCAAAAATTGCATATTTTACACTCGATTTAACTGACTCGGCCATTGCAAAATTGCACTTAGAATAATTTGTAAATGTATTAATTTATACCAAAATTTCAACCCTGTAAGCACCGTGCCCCAGTTTCTATGGGGGATTGGTTTTCTCCTTTTACCTCTTTTATAATATTAGTATAGATAGTATAGATTTAATTATGGCAATAACCATTTACACATAGATTCTCGGTCAGTGAGCGGCGCGTCGTCCCCCGCGCGGCCCGCGTCCCCGCCGCGGACACGACACGACTCTGAAGACGAGTTTATTGACACCGTCGACGTCTCCGTCGTAAGTATATTGTTGGATGTTTCTATTATATATGTATATATATATATATTATATTATTAATAGTACTTTCTCAGATTTAGGCGAATATTTGATATTTTAAATAAAAATTTTTGGATTATTTCGCGGATTTATTTTGATTATACTGATTATTAATTAAGAGTGTTAAATTTATATATATATATATATATATATATATATATAATATATATATATATATATATCCTATAATAATAACGATTAAAATTAAATAAATAATATTATGTACCTATTGCTATATTTAATTATAGAGTTTATTTTTTAAATGCTTAGAATTAAAATAAACTAATATTGTAAGGTGGCATTTTTGAAATCATTTTGTAAAATTGTGGCTAGGCACTGTTTGTAACAACTATAAAATGCCTTTGAGACACCTTAGTCTCTCCCGTCACCATGATTGCTGTCAAAGCATTCGAAACTTCGAGAAACAAAAATCAAACTAAATCCGCGAAACAATCCGAAAAGATAGTTTTATCTTTAATATGTAGCGAATTATTAGATTTTTCATATTAAAGAAAGCGAATGCGAATTTTCATCTCCAATATTTGCGAATGCGATTGCGAATGTTGGCTTTCACATAAAGCGCGCGCAAAATGTTAAACAGACAGGTTTGACGTTTCGTGGCGGCCATGCTTAAACCGAACATAGCCGATACAGGTTGAATGAACGAAGTTAGTCACATAAAGTTCATGCAAAAAGATTTGTTCTGATTTGATTTATTGCTATTAATATTATAAGTAAATAGAAAATATAAATCTTATCTTCTTATACTTGCTGTGCCAACGGTCGCGGGTTCGAATCCCGCTGGGGGCATTCATTTGTGTCATGAGAACGAATGTTTGTACTCCATTCATGGGAGTTTATATTTATAATACGTATGTGTCCAAAGTTATATATATTTACTAGCGGACCCGACAGACGTTGTCCTGTCTACACGTCTTTAATTTGAAAATTTCAAAATGTTTTTAATAATTTTTTTGATGAAAATTATTATTCAAATTGTGAATCTAAACCATTCCCAGATCCCCTTGAACACACACAAAAAATTTCATCGAAATCGGTCCAGTCGTTTGAGAGAAGTTCAGTGACATACACACTCACAGAAGAATTATATATATAAAGATATATATGTGTAGTATATCATCTTTCTGGTATTCATAACACTGGTGCTGTGTGTTAATTTCACAACATATTTATATTTTATATTCCATATTTAATTTCCTTTTATTTTGTCCAATACATTTGCCAAACATTCTCATCGTTTCTTGCGAATTTAAATGCGAATGCAAATGCGAATATTCTTTACATCACTAGTGTATATTATGTTTTGTATGTAATAATTAAAATTAATATTTTTTTCTCTTAATTAAATGACTTAAAATAATAAGAACTTTAGATATTTATGATTGGGCTTGCGACTCACCCTCGCTCCGCTCAGGTTCGTCCCTGGTAACGTTTTAACGTTTAGTATATATTTTTTAGAGATGAGATATTTTCTCGCAGTAAAGAGTATTCTATATGTTGACCTGGATAACCAGCTATCATCACACCAAATTTCATCAAAATCTATCCAGTGGTTTCCTATTGATGCATTTCCAAACAGACAAACAGACAAAATATCTAAAAAACTATAGATTCTGCCTCTGTATCGATAATAATGACTATTCCAATAAGAATATACAGATTCGGTTTAGTTAGAATTTTATTATATGTATAGATGAATATAACAAGTAAAATTTCAAAAGGAGATCGTTTTTTGTCCATACATTTTCGCCCCCAAGTCCTATAGAACCGTGAGTTAGCTTTCTGGGTTCTACAAAAATCATATATGAGATGGAAATTATAAATAATCCAGTCACGGACGCTTCCTTGGACTAAGAAAAAATGAAACAAAATATCGGATTTTGAGATTATAATTTATTGAATGTTTAATTTGATGTTTGTTTAGATTTCCCTACAGTAGGTGATATTAGAAACTTTTTACTAAGTATCGAAGGATTTTGAATATAATTGACTTGAATACGAATTATTTCAGCGTTCTAGGTTTTACTTAACGCAAAAAATTGATAGGTTTAGACACATGGCTTGAGGAATGCGAACTATTTTCTTCGTGTAACTACATTGTAGCTATCTCCTATTAGCATTGCAACTTAGAATTTATGATTACAAATAACACAATTAACAAGTTGCATGGCTTGGTAAGAAATATTTTACTAAGCAATAATGGAAATAATTAATGTCTACATAAATTGAAATAAAAAGTTTTGGTATTTATTTTAAATGATAGGTATAATTTATTTTAGTTTTTTTTAGATTATTCTGTATTTTTACACAAATTGTCATCTAAAACTTGAGCAGGGGGGAGGGGGAGGGGGTCGAGGATGGATGCTTGGTGTCTTGGCCAACTTAAAAACCATATTATTGTCACAACATGGGTGCAGCATCCAACTGCTGTGACCCCAACGATACAGTTGCAACAATAGTTGGTGATTGACATGGTGGCTTTGTATTTTACCTTGAAGCAACCATGTCAATGTCAAACCATCGTTTGATAACTGGTCTAATTGAATTATAAGTTCATGATCAACCTCCCTGCACGTTTCTACAATATAGAAACCATTTTCTCAAACATGTTAACCATAATATGAGCGGGCTTGCTTTAATTGATATACTCCTAAGGGTTTCAATATTAATTAATTATACATATTCTATTTGTGAAAATTCTTTGTCATTATCAGTTTTAACTTGTAAGTGAACGGAGACAATAGAGTCGCCACTCGTCAGTCGACACTCGACTGTCGTCAGATGAGTAAACAAACTAGGCATGACAATGATCTGAAATCGATTAATCGAAGAATCGATTTTTTACACCAAAAACCAATTTTTATATTTTTATTCTTAAAATAAATCGCTGAATTAAGACAATGTTGAACATTTATATAGGCTTTTTTAAAATAAAATCATCCATAATATGAACTTACATATATGTATTTATATTATAACTTTATTGTACTTCATGCGAATGAATGAACATCGATTGTTGGCGAAGCATCGATTGTTTGTGCGTGAGTGTTTGTGAGCATCAACGCGAATTTATAACAACACTACAGCTAGCTCAGCTAGCTTGCTGGCCAGCGAATCAATATCGCGATTGGCGATCTTTGGTTGAATCAATGAAAATACTTGTTTAAATGTTATTAATTTTAGGAAGTGTCCGTCATATTATATTTATTAATTCACAAATGAAAAAAAATGCTAGTAATAATGATATAAGCGTCGTCTTATAGGTTCGAAGGCGAGATTTGGGTATCTCCTTTATAAAATGCTCGATATTACTTCTATCTCAACATATAAGTATCTTAAACTTCTATTAACAATCTATTTATAGTTTCATCTATATAAATATAATTGAAGGCATTCAAGTTCATGTATATAAAATAAACAAAATCGAAGTGTCTGTTTGTAACGTCAAAATAACAGCTTTTTACTAAATGCATATGAAATTATACACGCAACATTCATTCCAGAATGAACCCGAGCCGATACAAGTGCAAAGTCCTCCGCGTCTCAGCAATGGACACGCCCATCAAATAACTTCGCAATTAACACGTAAGTATATATATATATATATATATATATATATATATATATATATATATATATATATATATATATATAAGGGTGGAGAGAGAAAAAAAATGTATTTTTTTGCTAGTGAAAATTTTTTTAATTAAAAAATAAATTTTTACTCAACATTTTGAGGTGGCTTACAGATTTTTAAAAGAATTACCTAATTTCAATTTTTTGGTTTGAATGAATACTATGACGTGAATCTTCTCGTATTGAAGGGAGGCCCACTCCTAGCAGTGGGACGTTAAACAGGGCTGAATAAAATACATTACATACATATATTACAGATTTAAAGGTGCTGGAACAGTTGCCGGGCACCCTCGCCCGGCTCGAGGCGGATGTGGCCGCTTTAAGAAAAGCAGTGGAAGGAGACAGGAGATTGTTGGATGTAAATATGATTATAATCTATACATATAATAACATTGTAACTAAGCCGAATCTGTACATTAAATATTTTTTGGAAAATCTTATTGAAAGAGACATTATTATCGATACAGAGTCCGAATCTATAGATTTTAGAATTTTTGTCTGTCTGTCTGTTACCGCATCACGAGAAAACCACTGGACCGATTTTGATGAAATTTGGATGATGATAGCTGGTTATCCGGGTCAACATGTAGGATACTTTTTATCGCGGGAAAATATCTCATTCTGAGAAAATATACAAAAACTGCATTGTAAGAGTATACTAATATGTAAAACCTAGGAATTTGGTTTTTTGTCATCTGAACGCGGGCGGAGCCGCGGGCAGTGCTAGTAATATTATAATACCGTTAAATCTCCAATTTTACCCCCTTAGGGGAAAAATCCTTTCTTAGCGGATGCCTACATTTTATAAGGAATATGACCTCCAAAACCTTTCAAAGTTGGAAAAATAATAATTTGTTATATTTATCCAGCAGGTCTCGAGCGGGTGGCGATGGCCGTGGCAGGAGTTGAGTCCGCCAACTCTCATATTGGTGGTGGTGTGGCCATTCATAGCCTACCGTATAGCGAACCGCTATCAACGTAGGAACATATAGTGTACGTATGTATGCATGTATGTACGTATGTATGTTTGTCTATGTGTGTGTCAATCTATATATTATCTATACAGATAAATAATATTGAAGTGTATGTTTGTAATGTCAAAATAACACCTTTTTACTGAATGCGTTTGAAATTATATATGGTATGTTTGTTATAAGAAAACACAATTTTTAACTTTTTTGTCTGTTTGTTCGTATCGGTTAATTTCCGAAATGGCTGGACAGATTTTGACTCAATGAGAGTATGCGGTACTTATAAGAAATACTCAATTTTTTTTACATTTTTGTCTGTCTGTTTGTTCCGGCTAAACTCCGAAACGGCTGAACTGATTTTGACGAGACTTTCACTAGCGGGTAGCTGATGTTATAAGGAGTGATTTAGGCTATTTTTATTCCATAAAAAGAATTAGGTTTCCGCTCAAATACATTAAAACGTACCTAGAATCGCACCTGAGCGAAGCCAGGTCGCTAGTTATGTATATAAAACTATACTTATAACATTATACTAACGACTTATCCTTTAACCTTAACAATAGCCGATAAAGTAGCTCGATGGCTACATTTTTTTGTCTTTAATTAAAGTTATTATGACTTCTGGACAGTAAAAATTTTTTTATCGAAATAAAAAATAGCTTGTAACACTCGGCGGTAATATAGCTTCTTATTGGTGAAAGAATTTTCAAAATCGGATCTGTAGTTTCGGAGATTTCCCGTTACATACAAATTCACAAACTTTACCCATTTTGTTTTTATCATGAAATCTCCCGAAAGTATAAATGCTAGGAACTTTAAAGAGGATGGAAGCTTTGTGGCATTGTAGAAGTTAGTTTGTAGATTTAAATGGGAATTTCACAATTTTTGTTTTTTTTTTGTACTGGTAACGAATCTATGTCTATGGTAATTGCATTTCCAACCACTGGTTTTTACAAATACTCAACGGATGTCGCTAAAATTACATTTTTATCTATATAATCGATAGATTGTACAAAAATCTATCTTCTCTTCTTCTTCTTCTTCTCACTGCCCATTTCCCATTCACTTGGGGTCGGCGCAGTACATCTTCTGTACTGCTGATGATAGGATTTGGCAAAAGTTTTACGGCCGGCCGCCCTACGCCTGCCTGACGTCAACCCTCCTTGGGAATGCTATTGTCTCTCTTTGTCTGAATGGTATCGCGGAAGTCTTGTAATTATTATGCACTTTCGATTTTTTTGTCTTTTAAAACATTTTTTATACTGTTACTTAAATTTTTGGGATATATTTTAAAATAAATTTTGATTACACAATAAATTTTGTTTTGACGTTGTCAATTTTATATTGTACAAAAATCTATGTACATAATAAAAATTGACTGCATACTTTGATCTCAATAAAAATATTATAACTTCTAACCTTTAAATTGCTTTTTTCTCATAATCTGTTGATTAGAACATTCCCAGTCCTTTGCCTGTACCCTTCATATGGATTAAATATATTTTTAATTTTTATACCTTTATGATTTTTAGGGTTGCCATTTGAAAACAATTCACATATAGATATGAAGAGAACAAGTTGTATGTATTTTCTAGAATATGCAGAGGCCAAGTTGCACGCGACATCGGATGAAAATGAAAATTTTATATATTTATACAAGATATCCTCGTCGTAGACCATCTTTGAAAAAAGTTTTTTTTATAGTATATAATTTTCTTTTTGTGTTGCTACATTAAAATATGCTATATTTTTTATTTCGTTTTATATGTGTGTATATATTTAATTTTGGCTCTTGGCAATTTAGACTCTTCGAAAATTGGCTCAAACTTATTTTTAGTTTTACATAAACATAATATTATATATTTTTCTTATTTTTTGCATGAATTACATACAAAATTATTGTTTAATTAAGGATATTTTTTTTAATATTTTTTATACATTCATTCCATTATTGACGTTTGGCTCAGTTTGTAGTGACCCTACTTGCTATGCCAGCGGTTGCGGGTTCGAGTCCCGCTGGGGGCATTCATTTGTGTGATGAGCACGAATATTTGTACTCCAGTCATGGATGTTTATATTTATATTATGTATATTGTATATATTTATATATGGGTAGTGTATCAACTATCTGGTATCCATAACACAAGCCTCGTAGCTTACCATGGAACTAGATGGTGTAGTGTGCTAATGTCCCGACATATTTATTTATTTATTATTTATTATATTGATATCATAGACTAGTAATATATATTTTTTTATGGAAAATAAACAACGAAATGATGTAACTTTAATATGTTCCTTTAAAAATTAAATAATCTATCAACAAACGTATGGGCATCATCGATCGCTAAAAAGAACTAGATACATGTATTCAGCCAAAAAAAATGTCCTCAACAAATGAGCGCCCATTTGAACATTTGGGTGCCATTTTAATTTAGTAGCATTCAAACGCTCTGACGGTAAACATGCCTCGATGCTCGTTTGAAAATTGCAAAAATAAAACACCTAGGACGAAAAAAAAAGACGGAGTTTCATATTTTTCGGTAAGTATCAATATTATCATTATATATAATTATTAGCACTGTATTGTAAATACCGATATTTTTGTAAAGAAATATCGTAATTTTTTTTTAAATTAAATCTTAATAAACAGTAGGAATGGCAGACATGAAATAAATTTAAAATTTAAAATATAAAAAAAAAAAATTAAATATTTTTTTTTAATTTGTATTGATTAAAGACATGTATCGATATACAATATAAATATATGCAATTACTTGGTCTATACATTTATTACTTACTGTTACCTACAATTATATTTCTCGTCATATAGAAAGTCACAATAATGTTTAATTATATAATTAAGGATATTCTAAAATGCACATTGTAGGTGTTATTCAAAGTGTTTAAAAAAATATATTATTACCAGTTTTGCAGGGTTCGGAAACCTGGTTAATTTTTAAACCCGGGTTTGTTCATTGAACCGAAACTGAAAGGCTTTTCGGTTAAAGGTTTCGGTTACGTTCTTTAATCGGTTTAATTTCGGACGGTTTTTGAAGAATTTAGGTTCAATGATCAAAATTAACCGGTTAAATTGGGTTTTTGTGCGTTTACATTCAGCAAATCTTTGCTTATGGAGAATTGCTTAGTATAAGGATACGTGTACAAATGAATTAACCGGTATATTTCGGTGTCAGAACCAAAATCGAACCTTTCTCTAATGATAACCGGTAACCATTATTATTTCGGTTTACTAAACAGTTCATTTTCATTAACCGGTAAATGGACGAGCTATGTGTTAACCAATACATTACCAAAATAAACCGTGTTTTTGAAACCGGTTCCGGGCCCTGCCGTTTTGTAGATTATAAATATATACACAAGTCGTAAACAATGTGTAAAGGCATAATGCTTTTGAGCCAATGTCAAAAACAATCCCAAGAAGGTCGTCTTAGATGTGAATTGAAAGTATGTAATAAAGAATGTTGAAAATAAAAAATTACAATTATCTACAATGTGCACTTTATATTGTGAATTTTTATATTAATTTAAGCGAAATATATTTACATTACATGGGTATTCTGTAGTGGCATCATAGAACTAAATTTTGCACATAAATTCTTTTCTTAATTATTTATAGTTGAACTAAATTGTTACGCTTCATCTCTGACAACGTTTTATTTAACTCTCGATCGGAATTCGGAACCCCTGTGACCCTTCCACAGAAGCCTAGGGTTCCGCGGACCATCATTTGGGAACCGCTGCACTATTATTATTATATTATTATAGCTTTATTTTTCCACATTATAATCTTTAAAAATGTGCATCGCTAGCTAAATATCAATATTCACTATTTTTTAAGATTTTATAAGAATTCACAATAAAAAGATAGATTTATTTTACGTTGTGATATAGGTTTTAACATAGGATATTATTTTGTAAGGCATTTTCAGTAGGTTTCGGTGTCACATTTGAGACTTTGTTGTAGCGGGCTCCAAGTGAGTTAGCATGTTTATAATAGTTTTGTTATTTGTAATAAATGGGAATTGAAATAAATATTATGTTCTTTTATTTGCCTACCTTTGAAAACCTTTTTTATTTTTAAACTAGGAACTCACCCTTGTTTTGCTCGGGTTCGTCCTTAGTTTGATTCTCTATACATCCCCATTTTCACCCTCTTCAGGGATGATTTCAAAAATAAAAAATATCCTATGTCCTTTCCATTTTCTCAAACTATCTTATCAAATTTCATAAAAATCGGTCCAGTAGTTTTTGAGTCTATTCCTTATTAAACTTAAAAATACAAATCTTTCCTCTTTATAATAGTAGGGTCGATGTAGATATGTTTTGTCACTGGATATAAAAAAATAATTAGATAATAATAAAGAAAAAAAAGAAGATATTCTCTGAAATTCATTGATGAAGCCTAAACCGGTCGGGACGACATTTTTATTGTTGTAGCGTACTCTCTCTCTTTCCCTCAAGTTGTTATATAATATAATTTTAATTGTGCGATATAATGGGAATTTATAAGGAATTGAAACCGCGCGTCGCCACCATCTGATCAAGCATTAGGAATATAGTTTTAATAATATTCACACATTCTAAAAGCGTCATATAATAAAACTATGCTCTTGATTGTACTTCTTCTTGACCACAAGACACAAACATGATAAATAGTTATATTTGTCGAGCATAGTATTATTTGTTTTTAATTTATTGGACTTATTAATAAATTGAACAACCTAATAAAGAACTCGTCATGAAAGTCTTATAAGATTAACGAGATTTATCAGGCTCATCAATATCTATTCGTTAAACAAAATTGTTAGTTCAACGCAGATGCTGTGCCCAGTACATAGTACCTATTCTGTAATACTAGCGACTCACCCTCGCTTCGTTTCGTCCCTAGACAAAAACAAATCTATCCCACGGGAACCATACATTTTTTCAGAATAAAAAGTAACCTATGTGCTATTCCAGACTATAATTTATCTTTGTGCCAAATTTTATCTAAATCCGTTCAGCCGTGAAAGAGTAAGTTCAACTATCCATCCCTCCATCCACACAACATTCACATTAATAATATTAGTAGGACTGTCGTGTGTACATATTTAAAGCAGAAACAAAACGAATTTTTGAACGAAATGAAGTCAGACGTGACAGTTGGAAATGTCAACTTGAAGTTGACGTTTTCTAACACGAAGTAAATATTGAAATAATAATTTTACTTAATAATATTAAAAATATGCCTCTAATAATCATTTGTGGGACACCAGTTAGTGGGAAAACGACACGTGCTAATGAAATCAAACAATTTTTTGAAGAGACCCATAAAAAACAGGTGGAAATAGTGTCGGAACAAGAAACGATAGTAAATCTAGGTTATGAAAAGAATTCTGCTTACTTAGATTCACAAAAGGAAAAAAGGATTCGAGGATACTTAAAATCAGAAGTTATACGACTTATTGGGAAAGATAACGTAGTGATTTTAGATGGAAGCAACTATATAAAAGGTATCTTCTTCAGAATTATTTGATGCTTCAATCACTTTTTTTTAAAGATTATTTTGCTCAAACTCATTTGTGTCTTCCTCATAATGGCAGAATGTATTGCGTCTATTATCGCAACTCTTAGACACTAAAGAAAAATAAAAAAATATATTATTTTATTTCAAGTTACCATGGTTTTTATACTTAATCAATGCTATTTATATTTTTAATAATACTTTAAAATAAAATGATTTCTTAATTTTTACATCTAAATAATTTGTTATCAATATTATCATTGAAACTAATAATGTGCCTATATTTAGGTTATCGTTATGAACTATATTGTGCATCAAAAGCATCTAAATCAACACAATGTACACTATACACCATCCGGAACCATCAAGAGGCTTGGGAAGATAATTTAAAAAGATTAAATAATGCAAATAATGAAAATAATAAGAATGAACCCTACACTGAAGAAGTTTTTAATGCATTAACAAAGTTAAGGTAAAATCATATCATATATATCATTTTTCATGTATTTATAATTATTTTTACCTCTATATATATTTAAACAAAAATCTGGAAGAAATTGTGGATTGTATATACTTATGACTATATTTGATTCAAATCAATATGATTTAATATAAAAATTCATACTTAATAAATGAGTATTTAAAAAAAATACAAATGTTTTGTTATAGTATTTTGTTTATTTTGAAGTAGCTACATAATATTTTCAGATTTGAAGAGCCTAATTCAAATAATAGATGGGACAGTCCTTTATTTACTGTTCAACCCCAGGATGAGTTCGATTTTGAAGCACTATATAAGGTTCTCTTCGAGAAGAAACCTCCTCCACCAAATATGAGTACACAAAATGTAAGTTGATAACCACAAATGTATTTATTTTTAGACCAAGAGCTAACAGTTTATTTGGTATATGTTATTATGTTTTTTGAAGTTAGTTCTTTTGGCGCGTTTGGAAAAAAAATGACGAGTGAATTTTTACAATGCGACATATTAAGACTACTGTAAGAAGTTGGTCGTTAAATCTCCCTTTTAGTATAGTGTGATATCTATATTCAAGATATTTATTCTGCTATTTCTATAAAGACAACATGTCTTTTATATAGATAAAAATGATTACAAGCTTTTATTTAGTTTCATCTGTTCCAGTGTCTGTCTGTAATCAATTTTTGCAAGTTAAATTTGACCCACTTCCCAGTGTCTGATTGAGCTGCAATTTGGCACACACATTTGATTTTTGTGACTGAACGATTACCTAAATGCTGCCCTTTTTAAACTAATATAGCAGACTCCCAAAGATGGCGAACTATGTTTTTTTTATGCACATCCATAATTTGCATATCAAATGAAAGGATTTGCTCAAATAATATGAATAAAATAATAAATAAACTTATTTAATTGCTCTAAAAAAACAAAGAAATATAACTTCTTACTTGCATACATAAGCACACAAACTTTGTTTTTTATTTTTAAATCTTTTTTTGATATTTGAACAATAAAAATTAATAGACAAATATTCTTTTCAGCCACCACTTACTTCAACAAATTTTCTATATGAGCTCGATAAAGTTACACAGGCAATATCAAAACAGATACTAGATTCAAAAAATCTAAATCTAGAAATAGTGAAATTTCCAGACTATCCAGGCTGTGTCTTGGAAGTCGGTGTCATGCAAGCAGTGAACCCTCAAAAGCTATTAAGATTAAGAAGGCAGTTCTTAACATACGCCAAAATGAACCACTCAAACGAAGATGCCAGCAAAATCGGCAGATATTATATACAATATTTGAATAAAACATTAACTGATTATTTTTGTTATTTTACTTCATACACCCATTTTATTTTTTACTGATTCGTGCGATTATTCCAAGTTATAATCTCTTTAGTTCATTATTTGACGACACGTTTGGCTCAGTTTTTAGTGACCGTACTTGCTGCGCCAGCGGTCAAGGGTTCGAGTCCCGTTGAGGGACTCATTTGTGAATTGTGTTGAATCCATTTGTGATGAGCACGAATGTTTGTACTTCAGTCATGGGTGATTATATTTATAGTATCAACTATCTGATATCCTTAACAAAAGCCTCGTATTTATACAAGCTAACTAGATGGTGCTGTGTTAATGTCCCAACATATTAATTTTTGTAATTTTTAATTATAAAAAAACCTAAGTAAAAATTCAAAACACTCAGCAGCTGGCATTTAACTTAATTATTCTAACAGGAAGTGTAAGGTTTCAACAAATGAAAAAAAAAACAAACACATATCTGTCCGACTTTATTGAAAAAACAGTGACAGCAAATACTCCATAAAAATACAAAAAAAAAATCGACAATAAACTAAAAATGTAATAATAAACTTAACAAATTAAACATGGCTCGTTAGGAACTCAACTATATACAAATAAAGGATCACAATTTCAAATCAACGAACATAATTACAAAAAAAAAAACAATATTGTACTTTGTTTAAACAATAATTACAGTTGCGGTACAGATTATTAAAATTAAATGATTAACACTACGTTTTACCAATAACCAAGAAGGAAATAGTGTTGTGCCTTAAAATTAATTAAATTAAAAAAAGTTGATTAATAAAAAGGTTTTTTTTAAATAGCTGACAGACTAACATACACAATGCTTTTGATTAGATATTTTATTATTATTAATCTGTACTACAACAGCTTAAAGAAAACTAAAATAGTGGAACTTTATTATATACATGTAATTAGTTCTAGCCTACTGGTTTATACTAACATTCGTTTATATTCGAACACAACGTGCACAGAAATTATACTGGAATAGAGTAAAATTATGACAAAATAACACATTTGAACTGTAAACTTACAATCACAATAAATAATATAAAAAAAGTATTGTCCAAAATAAAAAAAACATGTCAAAACGGCCATCTTGTTTCCATTTTCACAACTATAACTTCAAAGCTTAAACTTAGTGAATCGATATTAGTAAATAAAGTTTCATATTGAAAGATTACAGTTTATTTAGAGATAAAGATTACATTTAATGATTTTTTCCATTCGAGTCAAGAGAGATTAAAAATGTCACTTCTTCCTTTAAACCCATCAATCAAAAAAGTACTAGACACACAATCCCATGCAAAAGTTCCCTTAAAACTGTCACCAATTGTGTTTAGGTAATTATTCTAGTTGAAATAAATATACAAACCATGTAAATTGAACCTTAAAAACAATGCTTAAAGTTGTTTTACAAAGAAAAGAGCTCAAATGTTTAAATGAGCGCTTATTCGGTGAGGACATTTTTTGTCGCTGATTTTGTATCTAGTTCTTTATTAACCGACGTTTAAACCACACAAATCAACAGAAATGTACACAAAATAAATTAATATAAGCCTTACTTTATAAAATTAAAAATATAAAAGTAACATACTATTTATTTATACAAAAAAAAACCAAAACCTTGTTATATTTCCTTCTCGAAAACATTTATTGAAAACAAATCATCAAAATCGATGCCAAATCCAAGAATATTTTGAATAATAACGTCAATAAAGAGAAAAATAATAGTAATTATTAAGTATATTTTATTTCTTAAACAACACGAATTTATAGAAGTCAAATACATACAATATAATGTAACAATTCATCGTAAAGCGTTGTGGGAATGTTAAAAATATAAATTAATAAATATATCAATGAATATAACATTGTGATTTTAACGTTGCCATATAAAAAATATGCATATAAAAAAAAATTGAGTTACATCGATAAAAAAATCGATTAAGCCGTCGTCCGATTGAAAAATCGATATCCGCGCGATGTCTATTATTAAATATTATAAGTGTGGTATATTAATATAAATTCAACTTTCTAACTGTCAACAAATCCTGCGTCTAATCGAGTAAGTGTTTTTTTATTAAAGAGAAAGCTTAAAATTATTATATTTCAACACGACGTACGTGAGATAACGACATTTTTATTACTAGAATGTTATAGTTTTTCTTATTATAATCTGTGACAAATCTAACACTACCGCATAGAATATTTATACCATAGATACCAATTACCATGGATATATAGAATAGATATTATGAAGTTAGTTTATTTCACTATATGTCATTAATCATTATATAACCTGAAAAATAAATATTAGAAAAATAACAAATTTTAAACTTAATTCAATATTTATGATAGGATGTTACCATAAAAGATTTTTTTTATATATTAATTCATATATAGGCTTACATGAGCTTAAATTTTTATTCAGAGGAAAAGAACCCGCGATCTTCGTACATATAATCTATTCTATACATCCATTACATATTAAAAATTATAAATAATAATTCGCTATAAATAATGCGAAGCTAAGAAAAAGCTTATAACTACACAATTATAAATGCAATAGAAATGACACCGATGGAGGAGTGCGGTTGGAAAACTTTTTAAATTAAACAAAATGGTGTTGAAATATCCATAATATTTTAAACGTCAAAATTAATCAAGATAAATATTAAAAAAAGGCCTTTTAATTATCCAAAATTTTACAACATTCGAAAAGAACGGGATAATTTTGTGTAAAAAACCCCTTAAATGTTTTTTTTTATATTTTTAGGAATGCATTTTTAATTTTTTTCACAATTTAGTGTTAAAACTGTAAACCATTTTCCATTTAATAACCACGACATATTTTTTGTTGAGAAAAGATGAAACAAAGAATCCAACCGCACCAAAAAATGCAGATTAATAATATCACAAAATTCACAAACTGTTACCAAACATCATTCGGTCATCGTACAAACTCAATCTATTACATTCACTAGCCCTTCCCTTTTGAAGGGCTCTATCCCGTCTGGCCCTGCGTACGGCCACCGGCAAATCCCCGGGGGTTTTAACCCTTCCCGCGGGATTCAACAAATTCGAATCCCCAGATGAGAATATATCGCTGACCTGCTCTAATGAGTGTTGACGTTTGATTGATAGCGACTTTAAACAGGGTTTTGTGTCTGTATCCGTGTTTGTACTACTCGAAGGTAGTTTTAATGTCAATTCCGGGATTTCCCCATTCAATGCCGCCAAATAAACCGGGTTATCCCCGCTGTAACCATTCACCAGGTTTTCCTTATCATTTGGGTCACTGAACTCGTTATCAAAATTTGTGTATTTGTTGTATTTATTGAAACTGAAGTCCGTTTTAGGCAGACTCGCTTCCTTTAGCACATCATTTTTCTTTTTATCCTCATTTTTTGGCATGGATTGCATTGTTATTTTAGATCCGCCATTTTCCGATAGCAACATCAAATGTTCGTCTTCGCTGCTCGAGCAATCGGAATTCAAATCGAATGGACTTTCAAAATCGTTTTGATTATCGATGTATTGCAACTCTAAATTGATACTGGCTCGAGACGATCTTCCGCTATTGGAAATGATCTTATTATCGCAACTCAATCGTTTTTTGATCGTCGAATCTTCAGATTCGGAATTTCTGAATAGACTTTGACTCGAAACTGAGGTCCTAACACGTTTAAGACTTTCCGAGCTGCCTTTCTTTTCTTGCTTCACTTTAGGCACAATTACTGCGAATACTTGATTTCTATCATCATCTCTTGTGGGTAATTCTTTGAACATTTCAGACTCCATTATCATTGTTGGAGACAAAGTTTTGTTTGGAGGCGATAAAGTGCAGGGTCCTTCAAAATTGTAGGCCCTTTCATCATTCAAGACCAAATTAGTTGGTCTATCAAACGTTATGTTACTGGGTTTATCGATTAGAGAGGTACGTGTTTTAGTATTTTGGGCCAAATTCGAGTCTAGTTTAACTTCAGTTTCCTTTGGCTTGGTAAGTTTTTTCTCGAAGAACTTTCTTATACCCCATTTGGGTTTATCTTGGAGTAAGTTGGTCTCTTTCGGGCCTCTATCCTCGTGTGCAGTTACATCGTTTGGGACATAATCTAAAGGTCTTTGATACGAACGTATTTCGTTCAATCTATCGGAATTTTCACGCAACTGTGGTCTATGGGAGACTCGAGCTACTGACAGACAGTTCTCTTCATTGATTCTCTGTTCGGGCGTATCTTTTATGCTTTTGTGTATGAGTTCGACCGTGTGTGTTTGTGTGTCTGTGTTCGTGTTACGCTCTATACACGCGTTCCGGCCTATATGGGGGTCGGGGTAAAGGAGGGGGGTTGTGACGTCACTATTTTGGGCGGAAGTACAGTTTGAGTTTTTGTCGGTTTCCGGCGGTGGGACAGGTGGCTCTGTTGTCGCTGAAATATAATTTTAGAAATAATTTTCATTATTACTAGGCTATTATTTTTTTTAAATATTCTATTTTCACGAGAAGAGTCTTTTCTTGAAACTTATATATATAGGTCTCATGAATTAAAAAATATATATATCAAGAATATTTCTCACTCTACAGATAAAATAATAATTAAAATCGAATAACGATTAGCGAAGCTATCGCGTAACACATGTACAAATCTATACACTTTATAGTGACCCTACTCGCTGTGCCAGCGGGTTGGAGTCCCGCTGATACATTCATTTGTGTGATGAGCACGTATGTTTGTACTCCAGTCATGGGTTTTTATATTTAAAATATGTATGTATTTAAAGTTATATAATATGTGTAGTGTATCAACCATCTGGTATCCGTAACACAAGCCTCGTAGCTTACCATGGAACTAGATAGTGCTGTGTGTTAATGTCCCAACATATTTATACACCCAAATCGAGTACATATTACCTTTTTTAAGGAAAATTGGTAAAAAAAAGTTAGGCACAAATCTCACCAGGCGGATGCGGATGCAAGTTGTTATCGTGTATAACTGGCCCTTGCACTTGTAATATCATTTTCAGTTCAGCCATACGCTCCTCCACACAGACTGCTGTCAATCTAAAAACAAATGTATGCACAATTAGCGATACCCCATACAAACCTTCATCCCTATTTTCACCCCCTTAAGGGATGATTTCCGGGATAATAACCTATATCCTTCCCAGGCTCTTAAACTATTTTCTTACCAAATATCATCTAAATCGATTCAGTAGATCCAAAGATTACCCCCTACAACGTCACAAACTTTACCTCTTTATAATATTAGTATAGATGTACATTATTATATTTGTACTGTTGAGTTTCTCTTGGGCTCTTCTCAGAACTGCTTCCCGAGCAGGTGGTAGCTTCCTCACGGACTGACATTTAATTTATACTGTAAAATGTAATATTTACGATTCAAAATTGCTTGTAAAGGTCTACCTACATATTTGAATAAAGTATAATTTGATTTGATGCTATACTGACTTATGGTTATAAGTTAACAAGTACTGTTGTAGATTCAGTGATACTGGGTTCGAGTCTGAATCGGGCCAAGTACAGTTACTTTTATGTTAGAAACGAAAAAAGTAGCAATACTGTATATTAGTCATGATGGCCGCTGTGACAACAACCGGTCAGGAGATCACTATTAGAAAACAATACTTTTCCTCACTCAAACATCGAACCCGTACCTCATCTCTCATCCCTACATACACCCACATCACCTAAGCGTCACAGTCTCAAACACCAGGGACGACTATTGTTCACAGATATCATACTTCATATTTAACGTACAAAACCATACATTGTCCTTTTCCAATAATCGAACCCATACTTACCTCGCTTCATAATCACGGTCCCAAAGACCACGGACGACAATTACTCACAAATATCATACGTGGTTTTGTATTGTGAATGTCATCACATTTAACATACAAAACCATGCATTATCCTCTAGCAATAATCGAACCCGCACTCACCTCGCCTCAGCGTCATGGTCCCAGCACTCGTCACAGGTGTCCGTCGCTATCTTGAGCACCCTCGCTTCTGGTACTGGGCCCTTTGGCAACGGCGGCCTGGCTTTGTTGCGGGATACTAACGCCTGGATGTTGATTGGTTTAAGTATTAAAAGGAAATAAATTAAATCATTGAATTAATTGATTTTTTGTGATTTTATATTCATTCTGAATTGAGTAATAATGAAGAGATTTTTTTTGGACGGCGTGGTGGACTATGGCCTGATCTCTCTTCTATTGGAGGGAGGCCCGTCCCCAGCAATGGGATGTTAAAAAGGCTGATTATATATATATATATATATATATATATACATATACATACATCTACGCGAGCATGGAGCGTGAAACACACGATTTGTGGAGTAGGCACATTTGGATAGATATTTAATAAAAAATGTAAACATTGTTACCTCAAAAAAGTTTAAAAATATTAAATGTAATGAAATTTTATTGCTAGAAGAAGAGTAAAGCTGTAGTGAGTATCGTACAGAAACACAAGCTGATCAAACAAAATATAAAGTTCGTATGTAAATATAACGAAGTATTATTCGCTCTCTCCCACACTTCTCAACCGTCACTCGCACATCATCTCAAAGCGCAACGCACATGCATTCACATCTATCTATCTCCCTCACCCCTCAACCGTCACTATCACGCCATCTCTCTCACACTCATCCAGCTCACCTGCATTTGAGCGAGTGTAGGTCTCGGCGGCAGACCATGGTGGTGGTATGGCGGAGCGTATGGGGGCACCACGGTGTGAGCACCAGAGCAGCGCCATAGCATCTCCCATAGCACGAGCGCGAGCGCGAACACGTCCACCGCGCAGAGGGCCGCGCGCGCCCCGGACAGGTCCAAAGCACCCTCCAAAGCCTCAGGTGATAGGTAGCGTAGCGTTCCAGCCTTATGGTGTTCATGGTGTACATGGAAATTTATCATATTTTATTATATCGCACCTACTAATTTACATCTACATATATTAACTGGCAATCTATACAGATAAAAAAAATTGAAGTGTCTGTTTGTAATGTCCAAATAACAGCGTTATACTAAATGCATATATATGAAATTATATACGGTACTCATATAAGAAAATCTCAATTTTTAAAATTTTTGTCTGTTTGTCTGTTTGTTCCGGGTAACCTCTGAAACGACTGGACTGATTGTGACGGGAATTTCACTGGAAGATAGCTGATATTATAGGGAGCAACATAGGCTAAAGAACCAACAGAGTTATAAGCATTTTATTATAAAAAAATAAAATAATTATAAAAAAATAAACAATACTTATATAAATATTGTTCAATTATAAAATAACCAGAAAAACAAAACATAACACAAGTGCAACTATCGACAGAAAAATGCTTATAGCTCTGTTGGTACTCTTACGCACATGGCTGTTTTTTGCATAACTGGGTCCAATTGGCTTAAGGATTAAATCTGTACGTTTTGTTATGAAAGGGCGGTGTCTCCTCTCTTAATATAGGCAAAAATTACTTGCTTAAAAGAAGATCTCAACCGCAAACTTTATCAACACTATAATCTCTTTATGCGAATAAAATAATTTTATTTTATTTATTTATCACAATATATACTAATATTATAATTGTGAAAGTGTGTTTGTTTATTTGTTCGTTTGTCCTCCTTTCACGTCGTTTTTTCGAGAGGGTAAAGCATCGGATGAGTTTTAGCGCAAGCGAAGCCGCGGGTTCTACTTGTAGTATTGTAAATGAAAACGAGTGTGTATGTTTTTTTTTAAATATATTTATTACCCTTCACGCTGAAACGACTAGATAAATATATGCATTAACAAATATTAGAAAAACACTCTAAAATTAGTGACGTAGAAAAGAACACCATCCAATAAGCTTAAACTGACCAACATCAAAAAGACGATAACACTTAATTCACTTGTAAAAATTTCAAAAAAGAAACCCAAAAGATGGAAAACAGTAATTAAATTACCGATTATAGGCAAAAAAAATACACAATATTACCTCAGTAATACGACTAGGTGTAGAATGATCCCGTCTAGGCAATAATGTCTGGGCTAGACCTAGATCTGCAAGCCGAGCGGTGCCGTCGGCCGCCACTAACACGTTGCCGCTGTTCACGTCCCTGTGCACTATGCAAGGCTTCGTTGGTGCTGGGGAGCGTGAAACGTGAAAATAACTTGAAAAACGATTTTTTAAATTTGACGAATCGATTATTAGTTGTGTCGATGTTTGCGGATCACGCCATCTAAAGAAACACGCTCTATGATGGACCAAGTGAAAAAAATGGTGAAAAAAAAACATGGGATGCTTTGTACAATATTTTCGAGCACCCCACGTTTATTTCACAACTAGTGACTCATCCTAGTTCCGCTTGAGTTAAGTTCCTAGTTATGTTCTAATATTTAGTATAGATTTCTCAGAGATGAAATACTTTTCCCGCAGTAAGTTTTCTCATAAAGCTTTCCCAGACAGACAGAAAAAAAAACTAAAAAACTATAGACTCATCCTCTGTATCGATAATATGACTGTTTCAATAAAAAAATCCAAAAAATACATTCAATGTACAGATTTGATTCAGAATTTTATTATATGTGTAGATAACATTAACCTTCTCATCAATCACTTCATTCTTATACTAACAAAAAAAAAACATCCGATATAGCTCGCTTCATCATCATCATTAAAGCGTACCTTTTAATTATATATACTATAATTTTCCAGTTTAAAATGCAGAATTCTAACAACACTCACTGGCAGCGTGTAGGTGCGCAAGCGCAGCCGCCAGCCCGTGCGCAAGCGCAGCGAACTCGCGCCACGTGATCGGCGCTCGCTGGAGTCTACTCCGGAGTGACTCCTCGCACAGCTCCAGCACCACCAGCTGAGAGCGACCCCCGCACTCGGTTAGGGAGGCACGACTGTCGCTACCTGGCGTGTTAGAGAGGTGGGGAGTTAGGGAAGTTGCGATTTATCAATTTATTGATTCATTGATCAAATTATATTAATAACTAGCATTGCCCGCGGCTCCGCCCGCGTTCACATGACCAAAAACCAAATTCTTAGGTTTTACATGTTAGTATACTCTTACATTGCAGTTTTTGTATTTTTTCTCAGAAATGAGATATTTTCCCGCGATAAAAAGTAGCCTGACCCGTTGACCCGGATAACCAGCTATCATCATACCAAATTTCATCAAAATCTGTTCAGTGGTTTTCTCGTGATGCGGTAGCAGACAGACAGACAGACATAAATTCTAAAAACTATAAATTCGGACTCTGTATCGATAATAATGTCTATTTCAATAAGATTTTCCAAAAAATATTTAATGTACAGATTCGACTTAGTTACAATTTTATTACATGTATAGATGTCAAACCGACTGGCCACGGCGGCTAATCTCACTGAGACTACCTAACTGCACGAGATATTGTATAGTATAGTGCCGACACAACGCGCACTTTGTTCCTGTCACTCTCACACTGCGGCGGGACGACACTCGACACTCGCGGTGAGACCAATATAAGGCACGGGGGTGAAACACTGCCAACTTCCAACTCCGGGCTGTTACTGAGGCTTACTATACAGAAAGACTCAATAACTAAACTTGTCCTATCCGAGACTCGAACTCAGGACCTCCAGATCTGCGACTGTACATGCTAGTCACTACACCACCGAGGCAGTTATCAATTTATTGATTTATCAATAAAAATATAGTTTATTAATGTGTCTATACAAAATAAATATAAACACAACAATGACAAAACAAGTTATTATTTTATTAATAAATTACAAACATTATAATGTTCTATATTAATATTTTTTTTCATTTTATTACATTATAATTAAAATATAAATAAATATTGTAAATTCATTAGAAAACTAAAAATTATTGGCACTTGCCATAAAAAAAACTTAAAAGCTGAAATCGATTCATCGGATGGCTGCTCATTACCAGGCATTAAGTTTCATTCTTTTTGGTACACAGGTTATATTTACCATAATATCTCAATATATTCGGATGGGCCAGATGCGGTATTCCATATATAGAAGCTTCTTTATGCCATGCAGAAGGGTTGGAATACAGTTTAACGGCGACAGGAGTCGAACCCAGACTCCCTCGCCATACAGAACCGAACTTGCCTTGACCTGAAATAATGCATAACCATTAATATAAGAAGGAAAAACACACATTTACATACAATTACTATTAAGTAATATATATATATATATATATATATATATATATATATATATATATATATATATATATATGTAAATCGATATTCGTCACACAAAAATACGAATCAAATTTATGTGTTGGAAAATTATTATTTTTTCTTATCATATATAAAAAAACTACTGATAAACCTAAAACGTTGAAGACATTAAAAATATATTTTTTAAATTGTATGGAATCTAAAACATTACATGGGATTATTTGAATTGTTATCGGCTCTTGAGTTATTACGAATTATTCTTTTAAAACATTAAAAAGAACTACTTCATTTTTAAAATCGGTCAAAACAACAATTTCTCCTCACCTATATGCTCAATGAGTGTTAAATTATCGACACACAGCAACCCAGTGGCCAAAGCATCAGGACCACTGCCCATGATGTCACCTGAAAATAATACCATTTTTAATTCAAATACTAGCGTTTGTTGGTATGTATGTATGTATGTATGTATGTATGTATGTATGTATGTATGTATGTATGTATGTATGTATGTATGTATGTATGTATATATATATATACATACGTATATATATACATATATATGTATGTATGACTATGTATATACGTATGTATATATGTACGTATGTATGTATGTATGTATGTCTGTATGTATGTATGTTACTCCTGCCTGGACAGATTTGGATGAAATTCAGTACACAGATAGATATGATCTGGAGTAACACATAATTGTTTAGCACTTAGGAACGCACCCGAGAGGCGCGATGGTAAGTCGATAGTCTTCACTACATAGTAGAAATAAAAGAAAGTCGCTTCCCGTTGTCTGTCTGTCCCTATGTATGCTTAGTTCAAAACTACGCAACGGATTTTCATGCGATTTTTTTTAATAGATAGAGTGATTCGAGAGGAAGGCTTATATGTATAATTAATGTATATTATAGTACAGAAAAGCCGAGCAATTCAAAGATTTGTATTTCGTACTAACCGAAGCGAGGGTGAGTCGCTAGTAACATAAACAAGCAAAACGCCAAGTGCGAGCAGTATTACGATAGGAGGACTACGTACATTAAGGATATGCTTTCTAAGGATTGCTTTGTTTGGCCAATGCTATTATCTATACCTACATATAATAAATTTCTGAGTTCAATCTGTACATTTAATATTTTTTGGAAAATCTTATTGAAATAGTAATTATTATCGATACAGGTGCCGAATCTATAGTTTTTAGAATTTTTGTCTGTCAGTCTAGTTATTCGGATCAACATAAAGGATAATTTTTACAGCGGGAAAATATCTCATCTCTGAGAAATGTATATTAAACGTTAAAACGTAACTATTGACGATCCCGAGCGGAGCGAAGGTGAGTCGCTAATATTATATAATGAGTGTAATTTTATTTATTGTAATCGAAATTTTTATCAAAATCTGTTAAGCTGTTTAATACTTACGAGGGAACATATCTTACATACTTATATACATACATACATACAGGTCAAACACAACTTTTTTTTGGCTTCGCCACAATAGGGTAAGAAAGAAACTATACTCACCTTTTTCCACATCAACACCATCGCTCAAATCGTCTTTATCCAACTCCATTCTCTTACAATAAACTTTCTTAAACACGATCGCCATCAACAAAATGGCGACCAGAGCTAAGATGGCGGACGCTACAACATTAGAATAATTTGGATGCGTCGCACTTTCCATCGTGGATTCGGCTTTTATTGTAACCGTTTCTTCTTTGAGAGACACTGGAATAATATTTTTTATTCAATACATTGATATGTAAAAACGTAGATACACATTTTCTACCCTCTTAAAAAGTGTCGTCGCCATGTGACGTAAAGTCAAACCAAAGAATAAAATCGAAAGTTCTAATTGTCTAAACACAAATTCGAACTTACGCACACCACATAAAGTACTTTTTTATACAAAACAACCTACGTTTTAATTTTGTCATCCGAAAACAATGAACGAAAGAGATCTGAAAAAGGCGCAATTCAATTTCGAATCGAGCACTTTTTTTGAGGACACTTTTGAAACGCGAATTGTGTATCTTGAGTTCTTGAATATCAATGATTCAATATATTATTAATATAAGTTTATTCTATATTGATGACTTAACTAGCGACTCGTTCGGTTCGTTCATTGGTTGATTCCCCATACAAACTTTCATCCCCATTTCCACCTCCTTAAGGGATGATTTCCGGAATAAAAAGTATCCTATGTCCTTCCCAGGGTCTCAAACTATCTTCTTACCAAATTTCATCTAAATCGGTTCAGTAGATCCGGAGATTACCCCCTACAACGTCACAAACTCACAATTCACAAACTTTACCTCTTTATAATATTAGTATAGATGATTGAACTAAGCAAACGCTTTTCCTTCTATTATGAGCCCAATTTTTTTATGATCGTCCAATTTAATCTACACAATATATTACATAGTATAAAACAAAATCGCTGTCTGCGTCTATATATTTCTCCACTTACTTCTTCACCATGCAACGGATTTTGATTCGGTTTTCACTAATAGAAACAGCGATAAATGAGAAAAGTTTGTGTATATAATTTGTAATTATTTTGTACAAATGACTGAGCCTAGACGGTGTTTTTTCAAAAAAAAAAAAACTGATTTCGTACAATTACTGCCTAAACCTTTAGAGATATAACAAAACAATGTACAAGAAAATTGTAGGTCTAAAATTACAGGCCTACAGAAAAGTCCGCGTTAGCATGTGTCTATCTCCTAAGGTACGCTCACAATAACTATTTTTAGTTTCAAGGTAAAATTAAATCCTTATGATTAGAACTTTTACTTTTATAATCGGTGCACATTTTTCATTACATGAGGACACGTTTGGCTCAGTTTGTAGTTACCCTACATGCTGTGCCAACGGTCGCAGATTCGAGTCCCGCTGGGGGCATTCATTTGTGTGATGAGCACGAATGCTTGTACTTAAGTCATGGGTGTCTATATTATAATTTGTAAATATTTAAAGTATATTACTTTTATCAACTATCTGGTATCCATAACACAGGCCTCGTAGCTTACTACGGAACTAGATGCTGCTGTGTTAATGTCCCAACATATTTATTTATTACCAAATACTTACTAAAGTCAGCATTACAGAAGCTTTTGGTACAACAGCAGAACTTGCTGCCGGGCAGTTTGGGAGTCACTCGAGTGCATTTGTCACAACTGTTCCGACCTTCCGCTATGGATGAACGCCAGCAACCTGTGGATATATCATTATTATAAATGCGAAAGTTTGTATGTATGTATGTATGTTTGGTATTTGTTTACGCTGAAATGGCTGATTTGATTTGGATGAAAATTAGTACGCAGATATGTGACCCGAAGTATCACATAGGCGACTGTTAGTTACAAAATTCGCTAATAGGTGGCGTTGTCTTTTTAATATTATAAATAATCTATACATATAATAAAATTCTAACTAAGTCGAATCTGTACATTAAATATTTTTAAGAAAATCTTATTGAAATAGTCATTATTATCGATACAGAGGCCAAATCTATAGTTTTTAAAATTTTTGTCTGTCTGTCTGTTACCGCATCACGGAAAAACCACTGGAGGGATTTTAATGAAATTTGGTATAGTGATAGCTGGTTATCCGAGTCAACATATAAGATACTTTTTACCGCGGGAAAGTATCTCATTTCTGAGAAAAAACACAAAAACTGCAATGTAAGAGTATAACAAAATGTGAAACCTAAGAATTTGGTTTTTAGTTAACTGAACGCGGGCGGAGCCACGGGCAATGCTAGTAAATATATAAGGCAGCTAGAGACACACTTAAGCGAAGGGAGAGCAAGTCGCCAGTGCATGTATATATTACCTTATTACCTTATACCTTAAAAAGCATTCTATTCTACTTTGAAATTTCAAAAGAAATAGAGCGAACTTATGACTTTTGAAGGCATTACTCGCATGTACAGGGTAATTTTTAATTTACTAAAAACCTTTTGGGATTATACTATTTACATCATAACAACAATATCTGTAACAAGAAAAAACAATATTTCTTAAATTTTTATTTTCATACAAAATACTTTCTTCGATTTACGCGAATGTTTGACATTATTAAACAAAACTATCTTTTCGGATTATTTCGCGGATTTATTTTGATTTTTGGTTATTTTTTTATTTTTGGTTATATTTTTGGTTGGTTATTCATACAAAAATAAAAATATTTTTTTGCACCCTCTAAACTTTAAAGTTCTAGCATCTGGCCAAGTTTAAATGAATAAGCGCGGCTTCCTAGATCCCTCCACCCCTCCCCCTCCACGGGAAACGCACTTCCTTTTGCTAATGCTGGACTATTACCGCTGAAAAGGTGTAATAAAAATATTTTTATTTTTGTTAAATTTAAGATATATTTTTTTTTCTTACAGATGTTGTTGTTATGTTGTAAATAGTGTATTCCCAAGAGGTTTTCAGTAAATTTATAATGACCCCGTATTTGAAAATAATTTTTTTTAAATCTATTCAAAAATGCAATAGGCCTCATTTACGATTGAAGAGAAGAGGCCAAAGAGCTAATACAGAATTGTCGTCAACTTGATGCTCGGTCGACCTACATATTAAATTATAAACGTACAGTTTCACTTGTGGCATTTAAGTACTCATAGCAACCTTTTCGCATCGCTATTTCTATCTTAGCTTAACGTTGAAATGTGCTTTAATGAGGCCAACCGCGCTCGAATTCGCCGAGGTAATAAACATTAGAAAAAATACAGGCGTATTGAGAATTTCCGCTTTTTGGAAGAAATCGGTTGAAAATAGTACTATGCAGTCGGAGATCTACATACAAGACTCGCAGCAAGGATAACATCCGTAGATATATCTCCGACTGCATACTACTATTTTCCTTAGTTTACTCGTTCCCTTATTTTTTGTTCTCTTTTTAGGGTTCCGTAGCCGAAGGGTGCCAACGGAACCCTATTACTATGCCTCCACTGTCCGTCCGTATGTCAGAAGACTGTATCTCATGAACCGTAATAGGTAGAGAGTTGAAATTTTCACATAGTATGTATTTCTATCGCCGTTATAATAACAAATAATAAAAATTGATAAAATTAAAACTATAAAATAAAAATACAATAAACATTTTTTAACATTCGCAATCGATCATCGAAGTTAATAAACTACACACATAGAGTAAAAGTCATATTAATAAGAAGTACATGTACGATGGTATCGAACACTTCGTGCGCGAATTCGACTCGCACTTGACCAATTTTATTTTTACTTTTATAAAACTATATTAATTATTCTAACAAAACGAATATTTAAGAGGCAGTAGTCCTATTTAAATTGATACAACAAAATATATAATAGAGTGGAACAAAGAGTTTTTAATTACACAGTCTTGTGGTCGGCATAACGTTTGTATGAAAAAAAAAGAATCCAAAGAGAAAATAGGGCAATATCGTCAGACTTAATGCGAGGGTGACCTAGATAGTCAATTGTATGTACAGATTCACTTTCCACGTGACATTTAAGTACACTACAAACTATTTGCATCGTTTATTTTTTTTTAATCTTGGCTAAATATTCAAAGGTCTCATATCTTAAAGATATTAATAAATAAAGAGGTTTTAATTTAGACTACTTTTTTATATTAATATTACGCGATAACTATTTCGATTTTAAATCGAATTTTGTATCTTATATAAATAAAAATGAATGGCTAAATGTGTTGCTATGCGCAAAATTTAAGAAGGGCTGAACCAATTCGGCTAATTTAACTTTTTTTTTTGAAATCTTCGTTGATGTCTGAGGAAGGTTCATAGGAACAGAAAAATTGAACAGAAACAGAAAAACTAAAAAATCTCATTTTTCTTTTTCCTTACAACTACATACTTTATAATTATTAAAGCAATCTTAAACTTAATATAAACTACTTGAATGCATTTGTAGATTTGACACTTTGTTTGTTTGTTGTCCTTCTTTAACGTCCAAACAGTGTAACGGATTGGCGTGTTCTCTTGTGTGGAGATATGTAGTTGGAGGGCTGGAGTGACATAGCCTACTACTACCGCGGGAGATAAATGAGTTCATCTCCTTATCTCATCTCTCACGGGATCTCATTATCACGGGAAAACACGTTATAATACAACTCACACTCATCATACTTATGTATATACATATAATATACTAATATAATCTATCTATTTCATACTGTTAAAAATAAAATTCGCAAGCAAAGCCGCAGGCAAAAGCTGGTATTAATTAATAGTAAAAATTTAGGAGTTTTTGTGCATATATGGATGTATGGAAATATATATTAAACATTTCATAGGCTGTCTAGATTCTAGTAAATTTTTGCATTTTAAATAAGTGTCAATAAAAATTTGAAATTGTCAACATCAATTTTTTTATTTTATATTCTGTAACTTTATTTGGACGCAATTGAGCGACTGGGAATCGACTACGTACATATAATATAAGATATTTTAGGTATTTGTAATGATGTTTGTAAAACATTTAAGAGAGTGTAGATAAAAAAGAATCGGACAACTGCAACTCTGACTCGTATGTGTCTGACAAGTTTAAGTAAAATTTAATTAAAAAAATCAATTTTGAGGCCAAATTTGTGAAATAGAAAACACCTACTAAAACATACCATGTATGGTAAAAAGAAATTTAAAATAATTTTAATTGGTATCATTATTTTGGAAGCTCTGTTATCTCATATTTTCCCAGAAATTATAAGCCATACTTCAAACTTTAGTGGGGGAACACGAATGCTTATTTTCACATAAATACGAGTTTTGTATTCAGATCTTTTTAACGTCCCACTGCTGGGGGTGGGCCTCCCTTCAATACGAGGGGGATTAGGCTATAGTCCACCACACTGGCCAAGTGCGGGTTGTCGAACTGAGAATGTCTTTCGAAAACTTGCTAGGTTCTCTCAGACATGCAGGTTTCTTCAGGATGTTTTCCTTAACCGTAAGACAAGTGGTAATCATGTTGAAAATGATTCGCACATAAAATTATCAGAGGTGCGAGACCCGTGATTTGAACCCGCTTAACTCGGTTACCCAAGCAAGCGCGTTACCACTAAGCTCCCACTGCCTAACACCACTATTATTATTCTAAAAACCTATCCAAAGATTACGTAAACCCCGATTATGTAAACTTAATTATTTTTTTAACCCCTCAGTTACATTTATATAGTGTACCATCCCTATTATTTTTTTTAATTTTTGTAATTTACCTTCAGAATGGTCCATCAGTTTACATAAGACACCTACCTACTAAATTTCAGCAATGTAGCTCGAATAATAGTGTTGAGAGTACAAATGGCTGTTAGATCTAAACAGACAGACATGGCAAAATTATAAGAATTCCATTTTAGCCATTTGGCTTGGAAACTACAATGATAGAAAGTAAAAAACGTGTGTGTGAACTTATGTATGCACGTAAGAAGTTATATTTCCTTGGCGTAACAGATCTAAAATAGCTAAGGATTTCACCCCGTATGTCACAACTCTATATTTGTAAAAGGAATACATCATGACAACTTCATCATGTCGCGTTTTGGCTGTTATTTATTGTCCAATTTTTTCCAAATTTGCCCAAAGAAGTATAACTTCAAAAAAAAATATAATTAAAACATACCTTGCCCTAAAACAGTGATGTTTCCCTCATGGTCCTGGTGCCACAGTGTGTAGCAATAGGCTTTCGGGTCTGTGCACTGTTCCACCTGCACCACTTCACCATTTGGCATAGTTGTTTCATATAGTTTGCCAGTATCTGAAAAAAAAACATTAGTCATCTCTTATAAAAAAAATTTAAATAGTATTTTATTCCAATGTAATAGAGTTTTTGTAACTTCTATGGTGATCTAAATAGTGGAAAATGAATATAATTTTTTTTATGTATAAATTGAATGTCATTATTACTATCACAATAAGTTAGCTTTATTATATTTTTTTAATTAAAAGTTTAAGATAGCTGAATTATTATTACTATAAAATGAAAATTAATACTTGTTATTAATATTAAAGGTTTATTATGAAGGTTTAGTATCTATTGGTATAATTGTTGTTATTCAATATTCATTATTACAGAAAAAAATATTTTGACATAAATGTTTTAAGCAATGTAATTTTAGTTATTTTATGTTACATTTAACTGCATTTAATAGAATGTAGAGAACATACCAAATATTTCATTTTCAACCATCCATTGTGCATTCCTCTCGTCATCATAAGATGGAGTCACACTAATAGCGACACTGTGTATCTTATACAGACATGACCTTGAGTTTGGATTTATGGTGACCGGTTTCTCAGTCACAACAGCAGCAGCCTTCATTTTGTATTTTCTAACTTCATTGCTCAATCCATTTTGTTCTTCCTTGCCACTTGATATAGATTTTTTTTCATTTCCTATAATATTTTCTCTTACAGAAGCTGAAGCTAGTTGATTAAAATCCTTATTATCATCAGGTGTGAGTTCATCCAAATTGTCTACGCTTCTTTTATCAATAACCTTTGGTTGATCCTGAGTTATTGGCCAGTAGGTGACATCTTGTAAGTTGTTCCACTGAATAGTTCTTCTATGATGGTATTTTGTAAAGGTTCTCACAAAATGTGCTGGCTTTTGGTGGTGAATACTATTTCTAGTATCTTGAGATTCATGTGGACGCGATGTTAAAACTTTCGCGGTGAAGATGAAGAGGAATAAAACCATGCACTTAAGTAATGGTGTTACCCTCTGAGTTAAAATACCTTCCATCATCTTGGAAAATTTAATTTTTTTGCCGGTCGTCTGATTTCTACATCATTACTCGTTGATGAATAAAGTATCTCAGGTCATTTAGTGCAACCTAATTGCAGCTAAGCAACGACACTGCATAATATTGATTTTTCTACGCGGAATTGAAGCACGACAATGCGGCAATTTTTTGAAATGTTAACCCACTTTACACAAAACACAAATTATTTTTGCGAGTTTAATACTCTTTTAAACACATTTAAACTTTCAAGAAATATGATTTTTTTATTAATTGTTCGCAGTATACTTTACCGTATTTGTACCATTTGGTCAATTTTATGAACAAATTTTTGGAGATTTTTGAAAGAATATGTAGGAAATTAATGTAGTTAAAAATATTGTAATTATTTAATTTTATTTATCGTACTGCTGTGCGATTAACATTTATCATTCAAAAGTAATTAAAAAAGGAATCGATCGAATGTTGACAAACACATTTCACCACTCGCCGACATATTGACTGTGTCGTTCCAATTTAGGTTTTGTTATTAAAATATTATATTTATTTCAAGTAAAGAGTGGTAAGCTATGAATATTTTAGAAAATAAAATGACGCTATTATATATTAATATAAAAGCATTTTATTGTTTTATATAATATTTGTAATTTAAGCTAAGAAAACGTGACAAAATTCTTTAATTTTTTTTCTTGTCATAAAACAAAATGTCAGTTTGACAGTTTTACTTTACTGGATAATCGTTTTGAGAACTGTTGCCGAGTGCTGAGTTGAACTTGACAGAACAGAAATGTAAAATAAAAGGATAGGGCTGACATAGGTACTTCTTTGTTGCTAACGGGCAACGGCTTACTGTATTTTATTTTTGATGTTTAAATGTAAAACTTTATAAACTTAGGCGAAAATTTAGATTTTATACAAAAAAATAGTTTATATTGTGAAGATTTAAAAATGTCAAAGGTAGCCGCCGAAGTAATAGATGAAGCAAAGGAGCGCGCCCATTTTCGAGCAGTCGTAAACGCTTTTAAATATTATAAGTAAGTAATTAAATAATCTTACAAGTTATTCATACTTAAAATGCTTGTTAAATGTAAGATGAATATATGCATTGTGAATTGTTAAAGTTATAATAATACCGTTATGTATTGACCTAGCAACAGCCCAATAGAGCAATATAAAGAAGGAAATTGGTAAATGTAATTAACCTCTTTAGACAACAATGAGGTTTGTTTACATCCTGGGCACATGTGGAACTTTGAACTTTTTGTCCTTGTAGTATAAGGTTTGTTTTACTGTTTTCAAGGCTACATCCTACTCAAATAACAAAGTATGTAAAAGGATGTTTCTATGTATATCACAAAACTACTAATCAGCAAATTTATATCTATATATTAGTACATGAAGAGAAAACTTTGAATCCCATGTTAAGCATATTGCAAGTACTGATTATGATGAATATGAGCTTTGTTATAGTTAAAGTTTATATAGAGAAGGGCTGCAGAAAACCAAAATGAATTGACTTTCTTTTACCTGCGAATATGCTTGTGCATTTTATTTTTGTATAATAACATCACTGTTAAAAGATGTAGCATGATGTAAGATAACCTTCATCAATATTATACGAGTACTTACATAATACAAAAATGAAAATTTTGTTTGTCTGTACGTGTAAATGTCTGAATGTATGGGCCCGTTTCAAAATTCTTTTAGATAATATAACTTTGAAAAAAGAACCTCAATATCGATCCATCTTAATGAATTATGGTTGATTTTCAATGCGGTGATCATTAGTATTTATTATTGTGAATAGTATTTTAAAAATTTGCTACTTTTTTATGTCATAATATAACTTGTTAAAATCATGTCAAACAATTTAGCTTAATAATTATATAAGGTAGAAAAAAGAATTTTCCGCATTGATTAATAATAATTTAAATATTAAAAAAAGCAAATTAACATTATTAAATAAAAGTATTGTAAGGTCTGCTTTTATATATTTGATATTTCGTATAGTTTATGGATGTATACAAATATTGTTTATATGTGAAACATACCAAACACCTTGGCCTTTTTTTCATCCCCATTAATATATTTGTAGTTTTATCAACTTTATAAACATCAATTTAAAAATAAGTATCTTGAATATAGAAATCACAGTATACAAAAGGTAGATTTAACAACTAACTGCACACTGAATCCAATAACAAATAGTTGTAAACTGTGAAAAAGAAATGAAAATTTAACAAACTTCTAATTGTCATATTGACTTGAAAGTTTACAAGTGTTTCTATTTCCGTTGATAGTGCAGTGGTTCGGTATGGTCGACCTGATCTGATGATAAGGCTAAATGGTGGATAGATGGAACTCTTCAACGGCTAATAGTAAATACCTTGAGTTTAGGCATATTTTGCTTGATTTTACAGGCCCAATAAGTTAGAATTGGATTGAAGAGCCAGATTTTTTAGTGTTACGAATAAAAGCGAATTATAGTTTGGCATCAAACTAACTTAAACGGCTTAAGCGAATATTTTATATATAAAAATTGTCATCTAACTTAACGGCTCAAGCGAATGTTTATTAAAATATTCTCTTCTTACTTTGCTACTACTATGTCTATACTAAAAAGTTAAAAAAAAAACTGGATTCAAAAAAATACACTAAAACTTAAATAATAACTGATTGGTAGTTTTCATTTAAGTAATATAGATACCTAATCATATATTTTTCAAAGTCGTTGCCAGCCGATACCAGTCAAAGCACATCAACTTCGAAAATATCTGATTAGATAAATGTAGTGAATGGAAACTACCAATCAGTTATTTTTTTCTTTTTAGTGTTTTTTCTTTGAAGTCTGTTTTTATTTTTTCCTATGTCATTGTATAATTTTATATATGTACATTAATTCATTGCAGATTATATTGAATGATTGTTGCTTTGCATGAATCATATATGATGATATCCATAATAATATTATAAATGTGAAAGTGTGTTTGTTTGTTTGTGTTTGTCCTTCTTTCACGTCGAAACGGATTGACGGATTGGCGTAACTTTTTGTGTGGAGATAGTTGGAGGATTGGGCAGGAGATTATCTCATTCCCACGGGAAAACACGTTATAATACAACCCAAAAGAATATTTACGAATATGATCAGAATTACTTGAAACTTGGTATTAATGCTCTTCAATCAAATTAAATAAATACGTGTTGTAGCATTTTTCGAAATTAATTCTGTAAGGGGTTAAAATAGGGGGTGAATGTTTGTATCAAACTACCTTTTTAGATTTTTTTTGTAGTTTTAGCGCTAGCGAAGCCGCGGGTTCTGCTAGTTATATATAAATTAATTCAAATTGCAGATTATATAGAATGATTGTTGCTTTGCATGAATCATATGAGATGACATTTTACATAAGAGTTTTCCTATTCTATTGTTATATTATAAATTAAGTATAATAATCATTTGTGTTGTATTATTGTCTATATAATATACTAGTTATGTTAACGTTTAGTATTGATTTCTCAAAGATGAGATATTTTCCCGCTATAAAAAGTATCCTAAATGTTGACCGGGATAACTAGCTATCATCATACCAAATTTCATCAAAATCTGTCCAGTGGTTTTCTCGTGATTGTTTCCCAGACAGATAGACAAACAGATTAAAAATATAAAAAGTATAGATTAGGCCTCTGTATAGATAATAATGACTATTTGAATAAGATTTTCAAAATATATTTAATGTACAGATTTGACTCAGAATTTTATTATATGTATATAGATCTGTTAGACTTATTTTACAGTCTCTGTTTTATTCAATCGTTTTAGATATAAAAAAAGGAATATATTTGTTGAAAGTTTGTCACTTGAGAATGGCTGGAATGATATTCATATTTTTTTGTGATTGTTTGGAATTGGTGACCCAATTATTACGAGATACTTGTGTTAGGGGTTTTAAGAATTGCACTATAGTGCAAATATATAAATATAGTTATATTTTCATTAGTATATATGTGTATGTAAGTATTGGGTTTCATATATACAAAATAAAGTGAAGGACTATGTGTCTGTGTTGTTTATTTGACAATGATTTATTTTATATTTAAGTAGAATTGCTCTATTATACTATTAGTACCTATGCGACTGTGTTCTTTTTTGTTATATTTTTAGATAAAAAGAACTAAAAACTGAAATAAATACAAAAAAATGAATAAAAGTAAAAACTTTGTATTCAACCAGGATTCGAACCCTGTGATTGTCAATTTTGCGCTTTGGCCGTTTGTCCACGATGCTTATGCTCGAGCGTGCATTATTACGACCATATTTTGCGTAGAATAATGCGAAAGAAAACCGCATGAAAACTCGAAAACACGCGTTTTCCTAGACATAAGACTAATCTAGATCGATTTTTCGTCCCCGAAAAACTCCACATACCAAATTCCTAAATAAATATACAAGAGTTGCTCGTTTAAATATATTAGATAGATAATTCAGTTTATTAAGACAAAAATAACAACAAGAAAAATAACACATATTATAGTATTTTTAACAATAAAAATTAAGAAGTAATTTTTAAGAAATGAAATTTTGATAAATAGTTTTAAAATTAATACTGTGCTTTTCTCTATAAATTACTAATTAGCGATTCACCCTCGCCTCGAGCTCGGGTTCGTCCCTAGCTTCTTCCCAATACAAACTGACAAGAACTGACTGACTGAAACAAACTTCTATCCCTTAAGGGATGATGTCTGGGATAAAAAGTATCCTATGTCCTTCCCAGGGTCTCAAACTATCTTCTTACCAAATTTCATCTAAATCGGTTTAGTATATCCGGAGATTACCCCCTACAACGTCACAAACTTTACCTCTTTATAATATTAGTGTAGATAGTATAGATAGGTTTAAGTAAAGACGGCGAAAGTTTGTTTGCAAGCGAGAGGGTGAACAGAGTCGACGCCATTTATAATCCCATATGTTATCTGCACAAATTATTATTATTTTTAATCTTTCACAGGCTATGCAGTCTCGATAGAATACATAAATCTGAAAAAATGATCTCAATGTTGCCACTGATTCATCAGAAACGACTCGACAAGTATAGGGATTACCTCTTTAAGTTTAAGAAGTGCTTAGATGTTAATAATACAGTAGTATATAACATAATTGAGGACGTGGATACGATGTTCGAAAATGTCGACCATAGCGTTGATACCAATAATGGTGTGGATAGTTTCGGTTGCAACTACAAAAATTGTGAAATATCCTCGCAGAAACAACACAAAATGCAACATGATGTGGAAAAGGTAAGTTTTTCTTAAGTGTTTTTTTTTGAGGGATAAGTCAGTAAGTTGGAAAAATTACTGTAGCGGAAGTGTTGCGGAAGTGACAGTCAAATTTATTATTAATAATTTATAAAATAATATTATATTTATATTTTTATAATAATTATTATGTAAAAAAAAATATATATTTATTATTAATATATTATAGTGATATTTATTACTGTGGGATGAATGTGTATAAATTAAATAAACGTTGTTATGACTAATTGTTGCCATATTAACCGTTGTTATTGTCTGACAAATGAATTATATATTCTTTCCGTATATGTTATTCTGTAAATATAAGATTGCAATATGCCAAATATGTCTTATTTAAATATTGATTTGTTTTAATTAAATAGCGACATTTTCCAAAGAAGTTTTACTTCAAGCGCGCGTAAAAGTTACACGCACCATTTTTTTTGTATATATATGAAAAGGAATCCAAGGATTTTTTTTTTGAATTATGGGATATTTTTTCTAGCACAAGTTTTTTCCGTAAAGTTAAATTTGTTTCGCCTAATAATACTATGAAATATAAACTTGTTTGTGTTGACAATAAAATGAGTATCGTAGATGGGTCCATATTCGATCGAGGTAGGTGTTTTTAGCGCTGACCTTGAGCGCAAAAGTCAATTTGTGGGGCTCTTCAGTGGTATAACGAGAAGCGCGAGGGGAAGGGGGGTAGGGGGGGGGGCGTGTTTATTTGTTCACCGCGCGTCGCAACATAGGCGTCGCTCGTCAATTCGTCGGTTCTCTACGTCCGATTCGCACGCTGACGTAAGTCCGTAAATGTACGATGCGCAAAGCAATTCAATCTCTACTCTGTCACCCAGCGCTAAGTTATATACCTAGTTGACCTATACAAAAGATTTTTATGTTTTACTAGCATTGCCCGCGGCTACGCCCGTGTTCAGATGACCAAAAACCAAATTCTTAGGTTTTACATATTAGTATACTCTTACATTGCACTTTTTGTATTTTTTCTCAGAAATGAGAAATTTTCCCAGGGTAAATTTCCTATATGTTGACCCGGATAACCAGCTATCACCATACCAAATTTTATCAAAATCCTTCCAGTTGTTTTTCTGTGATGCGGTAGCAGACAAACAGATAGACAGACAAAAATTCTAAAAACTATAGATTTGGCCTCTGTATCGATAATAATTTTTATTTTTAAATAAAACTATCTTTTCGGATTTTGTCGCGGATTTATTTGGATTTTTGTTTCCCGACGTTTCGAATGCTTTACAGCATCCATGGTCACGGGAGAGACTGAGGTGTTACATGTCTTGAATGTATAGTTGTTACAGACAGCCTACCCACAATTAACAAAATTAAAGCATTCGAAACGTCGGGAAACAAAAATCCAAATAAATCCGCGACAAAATCCGAGAAGATAGTTTTATTTAAAATGTCAAATATTCGCGTAAATCTAAGAAAGTATTATAATAATTTTTATTTCAATAAGATTTTCCAAAAAATATTTAATGTACAGATTCGACTCGGTTAGAATTTTTTTATATGTATAGATGTTACAGAACCCATATAGTGTAAGTCGGACTCGCACTTGTCTGTTTTGTCAGAACGTATGAAGTACTTAATTGTTTTTATTTGAATATTTGTACCTATTTTAGTGTTTTTTTTAACTATGAATGCGAATAATTTTTTTAGTTAGATAGTTATTTAGTTAGTAGTTTAGTTTTTTTTTAAATAATGGCTTATAGTTTTAGTGTCTGTTATTTGTCAACCGATTTAAGTGGAAGGACAAAACCATTCTCCATACAAACTGGGGCCCGGTGTTACAGACTTGAAAATTTGTCATAAATTAATATTATTACATTTAGAAATGCGTCATAAAGCCAATTTTCATGGGCTTCAGCTATGGCCTAGTTAGTAAAATCGGATTTTTATTAATCGCTATTTTTAGGTTAGGTCTTACGTTAAATTTTGACACATGGACAAATTACATTACAGGACAAATGATTCAATTTAAAGTAATTGATGAGCGCACGGGGTCCCTTACAGGCACTTCTATAATTACATATCCACAATATATTGCCGCGATTTTTTTTTGAATCGCGGAGATTGAGCGCGTAGGTGTATGTCTTGTACGTCTAACTACTACAAAAACAGTCTTAAGTATTTTAAATTAGATAAATTATAATAAAATTTAAATTTTAAACTATATTTGAGCGCACAAAACACGTTTACCTAATATGGATAAATCTGTTGAACCTACCTACCATTCATGCTAATAAGACAACTTGGTGCAGTAATATGGTAGAAATTAAAGAAATACTTGGATGCTATAATTTATTTTATAAATCATCTACATCAGAATAACCTATTAAAATCTTCATCTTCTGCCTGCCCATTGCCCATTAACTTGGGGTCGGCGCAGTACATCTTCTGTACTGCTGATAGGATTTGGCAAAAGTTTTACGACCGGCCGCCCCACGCCTGCCTGACGTCAACCCTCCTTGGGAATGCTACTGTTTATTATTATTATTATTTATTTATTATCTTTTGTATTAAAATATTGTCTAATAATTGTGCACGGGGTGTTATAAAACTTTTGTGTCGTGCCCAACCATGAAACCATATTATACTCCTTGCGTGGGCACAGTAACCCACTGTTGTTTTTCCCACAATACATTCTTTAAGAGCTGTCAACTAAAATATAAACAAAATAGATTTTATTGCTTATATGTCTTCATTTTATTAACCGACTTTCAAAAACGAGGAGGTTCTCTATTCGTCGGAATCTTTTTTTTAATGTATGTTCACCGATTACTCGAAGACGCCTGAACCGATTTGGAAATTTTTTGTTTTGTTTGAAAGGGTGTACTTGCCAGGTGGCCCCATATAAATTTTATCGAAATCGGTCTAGTGGTTTTTAAAAAAATCTACAATAAATATATTTGTTAAACAAATTGTTTAATTATTCCTTTTAATAACCATGTAGTTTTAAAGTATTAATTTTTAGGTACAATCCGTTTTGAAGAACATAGTAAGGGATTGGAGTGACGTAGGTGCCCCAGAGAGAGAACAGTGCTATAAACCGATATTAGATGAGCTGGCTGTGCTATACCCGCTTGACAAATATAGGTATCTATATATTTTTGTTTAATCTAAAGCTGCTCAGTGCTGGACTTCGCTTTAAGGCCATAGTCCACCACGCTGGCTAAGTGTGTGTTGGCGGACTGATCATGTCTTTCGGAAACTTGCTCGGTTCTCTCAGACATGCACGTTTCCTCACGATGTTTCCTCACGATGTTTTCCTTCACGCTAAGATAAGTGGTAATCATATTGGAAATGATTCGTAAATGAAAATATCATAGGTGTCTGTATCATGTGTGTCTGACCCGGGATTTGAACTCACTCGGTTTCCAAAGCGAGTGCGTTACCTCTGGGCTACCACTGCCTAAAAAAACCGATTTGCATCTGCTAAAATCTAACATATTGTGCTTTTCAAATTAAACCAAATATTATAAGCTTACAGTATTTGCCGTTGAAGAGTTAAATATAAATAAACATTTTGAAACATTAACACACAGCACCATCTAGTTTCATGGTAAACTACGAGGCTTGTGTTATGGATACCAGACAGTTGATACACTACACATATATAACTTTAAATACATACATTTTATAAATGTAAACAGTAAACACGATTGGAGTACAAACATTGGTGCTCATCACACAAATGAATGCCCCCAGCGGGACTCGAACCGGCGACCGCCGCGTTGGCACATCAAGTAGGCTAACTACAAACTGAGCCAAACGTGTCGTCAAGTAGTTTCACTATTTACCTTCTGGTTTCACCATCAGAGAAATTGATCTTTTCAGTGACAGGTCACATATAAAGGTTCTAGTGCCAGGGGCTGGTTTAGGAAGACTCGCATGGGAAATAGCGGCCATGGGGTATTCGTGTCAGGGGAATGAGTTCTCCCTGTTCATGCTGTTTGCGAGTAACTTCATATTGAATAAATGTCCTCAGGTGAGTGTGTTTGTTTATAACTGGGTTATTTTGTACAATATACATAGTCTTGCCGTAAATATTGTTACAAAGAAAACAAACATTTATTCTATTGCACGTAACATTTATTATTATTACAATTTGTTAGTTTAATACATTAATATAAAACCATTAAAAATATATAAAGTTTATTCGAAGCGGTCTCCATTGACTGCAATACGGTCCTTTAAACGTTGATGCCAGTTATCAATAGAAGCGCGCATTCTTTCCATGGGAAAATTCTTCACTGCCAATCGTATGGATTGTTTTAGGGACTCCAAATTATCATGGCATTTAGAGCAAGCCATACTCTCTAAAACTGACCATAAATCATAATCCAACGGGTTAATATCGGGACTAGATGACGGCCAGTCTTCAGCTCTGATGAAGTCCGGAACGTGGGTTTCTAACCAAGATTGCGTGGATCGAGCTTTATGACCCGGACTATTCTTGGTTATTGAACATGGTGTTGTTGAGGGGCTTAACTAGCTTCTCAAGAATGATATCTTGATACACTTGTGTCGATGTTTCGATATCTTTTTCACAAAAATATAGCTCAGTCACTCCTTCATAGCTAACTCCCCACCAAACCATCACTGAAGTCGGATAAAACCCACGTTGTACTCTGTTGACTAATTGGGAAGCTTCCTTAGAGCTTTGAGCATAAATACGGTCATTTTGTTTGTTAAAATATTGCTCAATTGTATAAAAATTCTCATCCGTAAACAAAATTTTTCTGTTGAGTAGTTGTTTTGATTTTACCACCGTATTCTTTTTTAAATTATCAGTTAAGAAATGACCAGTGCGTCTCTTATAGGCTGCAAGCCCTAAGTCATCTTTTAAAATACGCGACATGGTTCTAGGTGCTATCTTCATCTCCCGAGATAAAATCTTTTGTTTTCGGACAAGATTTCTTCGAATTCTTTGAATTCTGCTTTGATCGCCTTTTTCGTACGAATACTACGTGGACGGCCAGATCTTTTTCTTTCACAAACAGAGGAGGTTTCATTGTACCTATCAATATCCCGGTACACAAACATTTGACTAATACCAAGCGTATGAAGAGTTTTAAAAATTGTATTTGGCTCCATGCCTAGTTTGTGTAATACAATCACAGCGATTCGGTTCTCTTTATCACTCCACTCCATTTTAATATCACAAAATATTTTACAATATATTGGCGCGAAAATGAGAAAACACAATGAACAATGATATAAAAATGACAGAGTCCAAATTCAAATGTAATATTTTGTTTACTGTGCCAAATTTCATACAGATCCGTTGAGCCGTTCTGGCGTGATTGAACAAACATCTATCCATCCAAATTTTCGCATTTATAATGTATGTATGTATTCGGCCCTTTTTAACGTCCCACTGCTGGGCATAGACATCCCTTCAATACGAGTGGAAACAGGCCATAGTCCACCACGCTGGCCAAGTGCGTGTTAGCGGACTTCACATGTCTTTTAAAAAATTGGTAGGTTCTCTCAGACATGCATTTATAATATCAATGGGATTATTATTTTCATCTCTTAAACGTCCACAGGCCAACCAGCATACAGTATATCCCTGGGTGCACCAGTTTGTAAACAACCTGTCCAGCGAGCATCAGATCCAAGCGGCCAGCTTCCCGGATGTGCCACCATCCACAAGGCACTCCCATTTCTCTATTGCTGCCGGGGACTTCCTCAAGGTAAGTCAATGTACTATTATGCTAGTAATAATATATATAAGTATATATATTATTATTATTAGCGCTTCGCTCGGGTTCGTCTCTGCTTGCTTCCTAATACAATCTTTCGTACCCATTTTCACCCCCTTAAGGGATGATTTCCGGGATAAAAGCTATTATATGTCCTTCCTCTTTACCAAATATCATCTAAAAAATAAATAAATACAACATCACAAACTCACAAACTTTACGTCTTTATAATATTAGTATAGATAGATTGATATTTAAGTGGAAATAAAACATACTATTATTGATAATTAGTGTTTACAAACGAAGGCCTAGATACGTTTTAACATTTTTGAGCGGAACCCTATTTTTTTTTCTAAAATAAATTAGCCTAAGTTACTCCATATAATATCAGCTATCTGCCAGTGAACGTCCCGTCAAAACCGGTCTAGCCGTTTTGTAGATTATACGGCACCTACACACAGATAGACAAAAAATTTAAAAATTGTTTTTTTTTCTTATAAGTACTTTATATAATTTCATATTTATTTTTCAGGTATACACAGAATATGACGAATGGCACAGTATTGCGACTTGTTTCTTCATAGATTGCGCTCCGAATGTCATTGAGTTTGTTGAAAGGATATATGCGATATTACGACCAGGTGGATATTGGATCAACTTGGGTCCACTGCTGTATCATTATAGGTGAGGTTTTAATATATAAAGATTTTTAATATAGAAAAATCTAAACTTAAATTTAAAATTAATTTAATATATATATAGCAACCCCATATTTTTGTGATAGACAGTTAGGCTGCTTTTCCCGGACAAATGTACGGTTCCCGTGGGATAGATTTGTTTAATTCATTTATATTATTATTATATAAAGGTATTTATTAATATAGCAACACGAATTGTATCACAAAAATATGGGGTTATTAAATTAATTTTACAATTAAATTTTTTAACATTCAGTCACAGTTACAGATTCAATGGCTCTGCAGATTTTTTTTTATACAAACAGACGGACATTTTTTTAATATTTAAATATATAATTTTTTTAATTATTTTTTTTATTAATAATTTAATAATTAAATAATGTTTATTGTTTCCAGTGATATGCCTACAGAATTCAGTATTGAGCCTCCCTATGACATATTATTGGATATAATTAAAGATGTTGGGTTCGAAGTTTTGGTAAGATATAGTTATATTTGTATTTAGCCCTTTTTACTGTCCCACTGCTGGGGGTGGGCATCCCTTCAATACGAGGGGGATCAGGCCATAGTCCATCCACCACGCTGGCCAAATGAAGGACTGCACAAGTCTTTTGAAAACTTGCTAGGTTCTCTCAGACATGCAGGTTTCCTCACGATGTTTTCCTTCACCGTTAAGACAAGTGGTCACCGGAGGTGTTAGAAATGATTAATCTAATTTAGTGACCCTCCACGAGCGCGGACACGCGGACGTTACAGTTAACAATAGATATTTAATTGATTTCTTTGAAATTTAGCTGGAGATTTTAATAATTGAACGATATTTAATAATTTTCAATTTTCTTAGTGAAAAGTTAAAAAAATATGAACTCAAGATAATAGAAAATTAATTAAAAACAGTAAATTACTAACAAAATTGATGCCTCAAACTAAAAAATACATAATTCTGTCTGACTGTCGTCATTACATAATAATTGTAAGTACGTGAAGTTATCCCGTGGTTCAGATCCATGGGCTTGAATTAAATTCAATCGATCCGCGGGTCAGCTATGGACAAACTTCCCGTAGACTTGTAGATCGGGCGAATAATCGCAGCCAAAATGCGAGTGAAGCTGCATGAAAAGGCTATATATATATATATATATATATATATATATATATATATATATATATAACTATAAGTCGGGATTTTTAGGAACCGGCAAAAATTAAACTTATGTGTTGCTCTGAAATACAAAGATTTATTGTAAGCGTAAGTTTACAACAAGAAACAACCTATTATACACATATTTGTATATACACATAAATAAATGTTGAAACACAAATTACTATCTTACCTGAAATACAAAGAAACGACATTAAAAGTTATTGCCAGGTTTCTTCGAATCCTTTTTACAAATAAAATTATTAATGTTTTACAATTTCACAATTAAAAATGTTTATACTATGACACTCATCCGTCTGACAGTGCCACAATTCATTCATTCAATTTAATATAAAGAATTTAGAATAGTCACATATTAAACAGATCTTATTTCTTTACATATATATATATATATATATATATATATATATATATATATATATATATATATATATACACGTAATTATGTATATTTTTGTATTACAGAAGGAAAAAACTGGTGTGAAGACGAAATACGCACAAAATCAAAACTCTATGATGCAACACGAATATAAGTCTGTGTTTTTCGTTTGTAGAAAGCCTTTCAGTGCCTAACTTCAAGTATTATATTGTCTACATGAATTAGTATTACATTGTTTATACGCCATTTTGTTTCATTTATCTCTTAACTAATAGTTTTTATATATTTTTTTCATTGTTAATAATCTTGTTTGTTTAATAAGTTCATAATCATTGTTAATAAGTTTGTATGTGTATGTATGTAACTCCTGTACGGCTGAATCGATTTGGATTGAAATTTTGTACACAGATGGATTATAAACTGTAATAACAGAGTACATTACCCAGTTTATTAGTGTTACGCGCCGCTGGTTTTTTAGGGATTCGTACCCGAAGGGTAAAACGGGACCCTATTACTAAGACTCCGCTGTCCTACCGTCTGTCTGTCTGTCCGTCTGTCACCATGTCATGTAAAATATATCATTTCTGAGAAAAAACACAAAAACCGCAATGCAAGAATACTAATATGTAAAACCTAAGAGTTTAGTTTTTGGACATCTGTATCTGTATTAATATATAGATATGATCAGTCGAACCCTCATCTAAGCGCCGCTGGTTTAGTCGAAGACATCGAGCGCCTTCGTACAACCTCTGTGGTGTAGCGGTGTGGCGGGAAAAGTATGGTGACGGATATATTTTGACGTTTGGCGCGAGACGTTTCTTAATTTTTTTTAAATATGTTGGGACATTAACACACAGCACCATCTAGTTCCATGGTAAGCTACGAGGCTTATGTTATGGATACCAAATAGTTGATACAATACATATATATAACTTTAAATACATACATATTATAAATATAAAAACCCATGACTGGAGTAAAAACATTCGTGCTCATCATACAAATGAATGCCCCCAGTGGGGCTCGAACCCGCGACCGCTGGCACAGAAAGTAGGATCACTACAAACTGAGCCAAACGTGTCATCAAACAAACGTTTTTTAGATTCAAAAAAACTAAAAACTTGAATAAATGTAAAAGAAGAAACAAAAATAAAACATTTGTATTCGTCCGGGATTCGAACCCGGACGCCTATGATTGTCAATCTTGTACCTTGACCGCTTGACCACGTTGCTTATGCCCGAGCGGGCAAAATTAGCGACTATATTTTGCGTGAATAATGCGAAAATAAACCGCATGAAAACTCGAAAACGCGCTTTTTCCTAGACAATACTAATCTAGATCGATTTTCCGCCTCCGAAAACCCCCATATACCAAATTTCAGCAAAATCGTTATAGCCGTTTCTGATATCGACGGTATAAATAAATAAATAAATATACAAGAATTGCTCGTTTAAAGGTATTATATGACTAGATGAATTACTGACAATATAACAATTAATATAGGAAAAGTGTCCCATTGTTTTACATTAGGTTATTATTATAGCCCAAACTGCACCAACACATAGCGACTCACTCTCGCTTCGCTCGCGTTCTCGCCTAGGTAGGTCATAACGGCTAGTATGGAATAAAAAAACTGAAAAATAAAAACAAATCTATCCCACGGGAATCGTATATTTTTCCGGAATAAACAGTATTATGTGCTATTCCAGACTATAATCTATGTGTCATATTTAATCCAAATCCGTTCAACCATTCTGGCGCGATTGAGTAACAAACATCCATCCATCCAAACTTCGCATTTATAATATTGATTTTGGGATTGCAAATAATACCTGCTCTACCAAACTGCGTTCAGCATTTTTCGGAAAAGATATAAAAATTGCCTTTTTTTCAGAAAAGATAATATAGATAAACACAAAAAGCCATACCTTATCTAAATACATAATTTGATGCATATCGTTAGAACCATTTGCGAGATACACGAAAAAAATGTATATATACACCACATTGATATATAAAAACATACTATACACATTTTCTAACAAATATATCTTCAAAAAGTGGTCGATATGTGACGTTAAGTCAAACCAAAGAATATAATCTACTAATAAATGACTTATTATTTATTCATAGAATATAATTCAAAAATCGAAACTTTTAATTGTCTAAATACTAATTCGAATTTACGCACACCACATATAGTACTTTTTTAAATGAAACAACGTGCGTTTTAATTTTGTCATCCCAAAAACGATGAACAAAAGAGATTTGGAAATAGTACACGATTTCTAATTGTGCATTTCTTTTTGAGGATAGGTACTTGAAACGTAATTATTATGTATCTTGAGTTTTTGAATGTAAATGATATACCAAAAACATTGCTCATCTATCTACACAGGGCCGGATTTAGGGGTGTGGAGGCCCTGGGGCAACAGAGGAGTGGAGGCCCCTAATTATATTTTCACTAATTATATTTTCACATTTAAAAAATTCAGTTATTTTATCTATACGGATAAATAAAATTGAAATGACTGTTTGTAATGTCAAAATGATACGCAAACGCAGTGGTAGCCCAGTGGTAACGCGCTCGCTTGAGAAACCGAGTGAAGCGGGTTCAAATCCCGGGTCTCGCACCTCTGATATTTTCATGTGCGAATCATTTCTAACATGATTACCACTTGCCTTACGGTGAAGGAAAACATCGTGAGGAAACCTGCATGTCTGAGAGAACTTAGCAAGTTTTCTAAAGACATGTGAAGTCCGCCAACCCGCACTTGGCCAGCGTGGTGGACTATGGCCTGATTTCCCTCGTACTGAAGGGAGGCCCGTGCCCAGCAGTGGGACGATAAAAAGGGCTGAATACAATGTCAAAATAACAGTTTTATACTAGTTAATATGAAAGGCATATACACGGTACTAAAAAGAAAATAACTTTTTTAATTTTTTGTCTGTCTGTTTGTTCCGGCTAATCTCCGAAACGGTGGACTAATTTTGACGCAACTTTCATTGGCAGATAGCTGGTTATAAGGAGTAACTTAGGCTACTTTTATTTTAGAAAAAGAATCAAGGTTCCAAGCAAGAAATTAAAACCCATGAAATTGTGAACAAACTCCGCGTAGCTAGGCGAGCGAAGCGAGGGTACATCGCTAATTGACAATATGTTTTAAAATTTTTGTAATAAAAGGTTAAGTCCCCATGAGCTCTTTGTTTACCTTTAGTTAGCTACCTAAGCCTATGGAGTAGGTAAAGTTATGTGCATGCACTAAAAATACGAAACACAAAAATAGAAAAGGATCAAAGAAAATTTATTTTAAATTGAATTAACAAACGTGAATTTACCTATAAAAGATTTATGCATTTGGTGATAATATAGCAGACCTATAAATTATAAATTAAATAAACTCACGGAGAACAAAAGGCATGGTAATAAATTAATCATAACCCCTCTGTAACCTCTTTTTACCCGACTGCGGCGAAGTGCTTTGAACGAATATTATGGATAAATTGTTTTTAATATTTAAGAACAATATAATCAATCATATATGTACAAGTATTATAGGTAAATGTGCGTTTTTTTTTGAAAAATAATAAAAACGAAATAGTTGTTGACCAGTCAGATTTTGTTTTTGAAGTGAAACTTCTCTAGAATCGTTGTGATTTAAAATAACTTTTAAACTTGGTAAAAATATTATAAAAAAAATTAACCTTATAATTATCCTCCTGATGATTTCTGAAGTTTCACTTCTATTATGTGTAAATTGCACACACACGCACTTTTTGTTTTTCTTTTGTGGGGGCCCCTCTTGTGGAGGCCCCGGGGCTCTAGCCCTGGTTGCCCTCCTCTATATCCGGCCCTGTATCTACATATATCCATAAATGTGAAAGTGTGTTTGTTTGTTTCTTTGTCTTCCTTTCACTTTGAAACGAAGTGACGGATTGGCGTGATTTTTTGTGTGGAGATAGTTGGAGGGCTGGAGAGTGACATAGGCTACTTTTTATCGTAGAGGTTGATTATCTAATTCCCACGGGAACACACGTTATAATATAACAAAAAATATATATATTATAGGAATTACTTGAAACTTGGTATTAATGTTCTTCAACACAATTAGAAAAATACGTATTTTAGCTTTTTTCGAAATTCATCCCATAAGAGGGTAAAATAGGGGATAAAAGTTTGTAGGAAACCTACCATGTAGAGTTTTTTTTTAGTTTTAGCCCGAGCGAAACCGCGGGTTCTGCTAGTAATATATAAAACAAAGTCGGGTTTGTTACAACACTTATAACTCGAGAACTGCTGGACCAATTTTTATGATCTTTGTTTTGTTGGATTTGTCTTCACGAAAAAGAAATTTAATTAAATTTTAAATATATAACGTCAAAACGTTCCTAGGGACGAACGTGAGTGAAGTGAGGGGGAGTCGCTAGTTTAATATTATAAGATAAAAACTACGTAACATCTGATGCGTTAAAAATTATAAGTTCTTTTTTGACCCAACTATAATATATGCAATTTTTCAATCCTACTAATATTATAAATACGAAAGTTTGTGAGGATGAAGATGTATGGATGGTTGTTACTCTTTCACGCAAAAATTACTGAATGGATTTTGATGAAACTTTACAATAATATAGCTCATACATCAGAACAACACATAGGATACTTTTTATCCCGGAAAAATGTACGGTTCGGTACGTTAAACTTATACCCCTCTTCTTGTGTTGGGGGTTAAAAAACGGTTTTTTTTATTCTTATCATTTTGTAATGGTAATGTCCATTTGTTTGTAGGTATGTTTTATCCAATTTACTCAAAGTATTCAGAGCTCAATGACTGTTTGGTAAACAATTGTCTCATGTGAACCCCTAGACTTATCGGGACTCGAATTACGAAAAACTATAATATTAAAAAAATATTATGTGTAAACCGTATATACCTACATACATACATACATAGATACATGTTCTTATCCCGTAGAAATACAAATATCTATTCATATAATAAAATAGTAATTTAGCGACATCTGTACATAAAATATTTTTAAAGTTATACTTCTTTTGGGACGTTTGGAAAAATTATGAGAGTAAAATTTTTACAAAGCGCGCGTACACCGATAGCTAAAAAGTGACATGATGAAGTTAGCTGCATTCCTTTTACAGAGTTGTGACATACGGGATGAAATCATTAGCTA